TAAATACCAACAGCCCGCCCTAATCATGGTGTTGACCAAAAGCACACTTAATATTTCCACAGTGCCCCTAGGCGGCAGGTTTTTTCTGTTGAAAACCATTGCCCTAAGCTCTTGAGTGTGTCCTTACCTCCTAATAAGAGTCGAGTTTTATCATTTATTTTGCTGGCTTACTAGGTACAAAATGACACTTTAGTCGCTTTACTTTGTGTTTCTTTGATTTCTTCATGTTTGTTTCTAAGTTTATTTTCTCTTCATTGTTATACTTAATATGCCTGTAATCATAGTGCACTTCTTTGTCTTAATGTTTTTTGTCTCTCTGTAGTTTGTTAAAATGTAGCATTTTTTCTATTACATTTTTCTATTTTTTGTTACATAAAATTTAATAATTCAACTTTTTTATTGTATTCTTTACCTTTCTACTTTACATGCCTCTTGAAAGCATTTATTTCATTTTCTTACATATAATCATTCAAACATTAATATGTTTAGAGAATGAAAATTTCTGGCATTGAAAAACTTTAAAAAGCTTTTAAAAAGAAGGTTTTTTTTTTTTGAAACAGGGTTTTGCTCTGTCGCCCAGCCTGGAGTGCAGTGGCATCATCATAGCTCACGACAACCTCAAACTCCTAGGCTCAAGCACTGCTCCTGCCTCAGCCTCTGGAGTAGCTGGGACTACAGGCGCACGCCATGACATTTGGCTAATTTTTCTATTTTTTTGTAGTGAAGGGGTCTTGCTATGTTGCTCAGGCTAGTCTTGAACTCCTGGTCTTAAGCAATCATCCTGCCTTGGCCTCCCAAAGTGCTAGGAGTATAGGCATGAGCCACTGTGTTCAGCCTTATAAGGGATTTAAGAGCCATTAATCTGCTTTAATTTGTTTTTCTTTGTGTTTTTGAAAGAATGATACTCCTCTCTTTACCTCAGAATTGAGTAGGGTGGTCGCTGTTTCTTAAAATACAGATTCTCAAGCCCCAGCCCAGATCTACAGAATTGAGCTTTCTAGGATGTCCGGGATTGGGCCTGGGCATCTGCATTTTCAACTAGATCCCCATACATGATTTAGTGTACAAGAGAATTTGAGAGCTACTTTGTCCCTTTTTGGCCTTAAAACTTTTTTTTTTCCCTCCAATAATGTGCTGTCTGGAATAGACACTAAATATTAATATTCCTTTAACATTTGGAAACCATCCGACTTTTATTTTTACTAATAATTAAAACAAATGAACATTTTTTGATTTTTGTTTGTATGTGACATGTAAAATTTTGGACATACTTTAGTGGAATGGGGGAACACCTTTGACGTCTTCCTTTTTCCCATTGGTAAACCTTGACATTCTTAGACATTTATTCAGTATCCACTGTGTGCTACTACTCAGAGATTCATGAGCTGAGGTTCCCATTCAAAAAAGGATGACACTCTGTGGTAAAAATACCTGCTAATGAATAATGTAATGTGAAGCTTTAACAGTCTGTAATATGCGGTCAGCTGGGAGGAGCTGGTTTGAGAAGTCAAGAAAAGTTTTACCAAGGAGAGGACGTTGGAGCTGGGCTTTGAAGGATGTGTACTTCATAAGGGTCAAGGCAGGGTACAGCAGTTCAGTCGGTGGGAGTAGCATGGGCAGTAGCATAGGGTATGAAAGAACATGTTGGGTTTGAGCAATCATCCGTAGTTCTTTGTGGCCTTAGGTTGGGAATGTTATGGGAAAGTGTCTGTAGGAGACGAGATTGGGAAGGTGGTATAAACAATTCTCCTTGGAATTCTAGCAAGATTTTATTGCTGGTTTTTTTGAATTGGATAAAATAACAAGTTATATATAGAAGAATAAATACCTAGAATAGACAAAAAAGTTTTGAAAAAGAATACTGGGGGTGGAGGGAACTTCCTTTTCGTATATTAAAACATTCTATAAAGCCACGGAAATTAAATCATTGTGGCATTGGCATAGTTATAGACAAACAGTTGAACAGAACAGATTCATAAATAGATTCCAGAATAAATGAGAATTTAATATGCAACAGAATTGGTATCTCAGTTCAGTAGGAAAAGGATATATTTTTAAGAGATGATGCTGGCATAATTGACCATACATTTAGAAGAAAATAAAATGGGACCTTTCCTATAGCACTTGTAGAAGAAAATTTCAGATGAATATAAAACTTGAATATGAAGAATTAAATAATTATCTTACAGGAAAGTCTAGGAGACTACATATTTATGTTAGGATTCTGTTTTCAAACTTTTGGACTAAGACCTATGGTAAGAAATGTATTTTTCATTGTGACCCAGAACATATGCATATATTACAAATGAAACAAGTTTCACAGAACATTCCTTATCTTTACTGTGTGTGATGCTCTTTTCATATATCCTGTGCCATATAATTAAAAACAGAAGGATTTACATTATATTTATTTTATGAACCACAGTTTGAAAAACACTGAAAGAGGGCATGGGAGGGAGAAACGTTCTAAGCTAGACTCAAATCCAGAAGTTATAAAATGAAAGTAAATATTTGGCTAGAACAATGAAATTTCATTTCATATCTGTCAAATTAGCATAAATAAATAATGCTGATTTCTGGTGGGAGTGGGGGTGATGAGAAGTGAGAAGGGCTCTCATCTGTTCCTAATGTAAATGAAAATTGTTACAGCTTTTTTGAGGGTTCAATCTGGTAAGCCCTAATAACATTAAAAATTCATATATCCTTTGATCCTGAGTTTCACTCTTAGGAACTTATTTTATAGAAATAAAAAGGCTACTGCTTAAGGATATATGAACAAGCATGTTTATTGCATCATTATTTCCTGGTGACAAAAAAATGGGGAATGAAGTAAATGCACATCATGAAGAGACTGGTTGAGTAAATTATGCCACACCCATGTCATGGAATATTACACAGCCATTAAAAAGAATCTATTATTGGAGGGATAGTCATGAGGTACTGTTGAATGAAAAAACAAGATAAAGTATACAACCCTGGCTAGGCATACATATAACTTATTTTAATATGATGGAGTTAGGGTGGAGAAAAATACAGGAGGAAATTTTAAATTGTTAACATGGATTATCTACCCAGGGAAGGGATTATTTGGTCAGCAAATGAAGCCAAATGAAAAATGAAAAGGGTGAAAAACTGCACTAAAACAAAACAAAAATCCCTGTAGTATAATCTTGTGCATTTGTTTGAGACTATGTAGTGTGTGTATATATACTGTATGTATACTTGTATATGCATGTATTACATATATGTATTTATATGTGTATGTATGTTAATAAAAAAAGACAAGGAAAAAAATGTGTGGTGTGGGAATAAGTTGTCTTGTGATGGTGATGGCTCCCTATCAGAGCTTTGCCTTTTTCCCCTTCCATTTTTGAGAGTGCTTATTTCACCTTTGGGGGAATCTTTATAGAATATCCATGAGGAAACTCAGGCAATTTTAGTAATCAAGATGCATCTATCCTTCCTTTGAATTGTAGGTACCTTTAAGATGCCGGTCCTTATCTCCTGCCTTCCCATTTTCAAGGAAAGGTCCAGAGGACGAGGAGGTCACAAGATCCCCATAGAGTCACTGAAAGGCTTCTGGGCCTAGAGTTCCTCAGATTGCAAAAGAAGCTGAATAGATTGAACAGGATGGGAGAGGAGAAACAAAAGGGGGAGGGAAAGTGGTGGATTCCTGTATATGGAAAGAAGAAAGAAAGGTAGTGTGGGACCAGACAGTGAGTAGCTTTTACTCTCATGCTAAGGAGTTTGATTTTCGCTCTGTAAGTCCATGATCCTCAAATGTCATGTGCTCTCGAAAACTGATGTTTGGTGAGCTGGAATGAGGTTTTCCAGGATAAAATTAAACAATGTTAGTCTCTTCCCAGTTTGAAGAAAAAGTAGCTTAGATAGATTAATTGTACCCGTGTATTTTGCTTAAACTGCTAACTGGGCAAGCAGATTTCAGCACAAGTGGAAAATGGAACTTAATAGAAATGAATTGAAAGGGCTAATCATCCTTGATTCTTTTTATGAGTATGGCATTTATGGTTGGAATATTTACATTGCATTCATACAGATATGTTTTCTGCAGCTAGAATTCCTCATTTGTGTGGTAGACTTAGATATCATTTCATGGAGAGTGTACAGCTTAGGGAGAGGCAGTACATGCTATGGAGAGTGCCTAGGATAAGGATAGGAAATACATGCTGTGGCTAAGAGCATAGGCCCTGGAGCCCAACAGATGTGGGTTCAAAACCCAGCTCTACCCTGTTACAGCTCTGAAGCTTCAGTAAGAAGCAAACCCCTCTATGCCTCAGTTTTTTTCATCTGTGAAATGAGGATAACATTACTGAATATTCATAGGGTTGTTTTAGTGATTATATGAATAGCATATAATAAATGCTTAATAGGTGGCAGCTCTTACTATGTTTTCTAAAGAATACTGTGACTTCTAAGTGTTCTATTAGTGGAAGTTTGAGCACCACTGCTACAGGAATGAAATATTCTCAAAGAATTTTTAAAGTCTTATTTGAGGACATTGCTGGGAAATTCCGGAGATATGTTTCTAGCACGTAGTAGGTACTTGAAAGCTGTTGACTGAAAAGTCTGGGTCTTAGGGTCAACTCTCCTTTGTTTCCCCTTCCTACTTAGGGCACTCTGCTCTCCCATGTTTTTCTTTCCTGGAACCGTTGAATGGGGAGGGTTCCCTTACACCATGAGTGTCCCACATGTGATCATTTTATCCCCTTGCACAATGGCCATCTTCCCAGCTCTGCTCCATAGTTCTTGAGAGCTCTTTTGGGGAGGTGCTCAGAGAGCTGCTTCTCAGAGTCAGCCTTCCTACCTAATCTCACCGTAAGGTTTTGGAACATTCCCAAAATATGTGTTTTTTTCCTGTCTTCTAGAGGCAATTATGTTTGCAGTCTTTATCTTACCAGGTGGAGTAAATCTGTGTTGTATTTATTTTTATTAATTTGCGGTAGTATAATTTGACATACATTTCTGTTTTGTCTTTTCAGGTGCCATTTGGATAGTACTTTAGCGGCACGATGTACTCTGAGTGGAGGTCACTACATTTGGTGATTCAGAATGATCAGGGCCATACCAGTGTGCTGCACAGCTATCCAGAGAGTGTTGGGCGAGAGGTGGCGAATGCTGTGGTCCGTCCTCTAGGGCAGACGTTAGGTACCCCTTCAGTGGCTGGCAGTGAGAGTTTGTTAAAAACTGACAAAGAAGTAAGTGTTTCTTCATTTCATTCTATTGTGTGAAAATATGAATTTGTTAAGAATTTTTTTAACGTTGACGTTTTACTGGATTTTTGCCCAGGGTAGTGCAACTTCTCAGTTTTGATCCCATTTGGGTTGAGGGCTGGGACTCAGACTTTGAGGGCGTTATAGAACTGGGTTGTACCATTTTGCTGTTGGGACTTCTTACCAGCCATGCCCAGTTCTCCTCTTGAGCTAAGAGGAGAACTGTAGAGTTCTGTAGAGTTTACAGTCAAGACAGAGACTTGAGTGTCTGGCCATTTCCCCCAAGCTCTAGGCTCAGTCTTCTGATTTCCATTAGAGGTGTATTTGGAAGGCCTCATTCATACCTGGAGATGGCTCCTGACTGAAGGCCTATCTTATGTCAAGTTTTCAGCCTACATATATTTGCTGAGCTTGAGCTCTCCTCTGTCCCCATCCCTGCCTACCCCTGCCTGGCTTCCAGGTTTAAGAGTGCTGCAGAGCAGCTAAGCCCTTCTGGCTGTGAGCCCAGGTGGTTGGATTTGGGGTTGTGTTTGCTGTTCCTAACGATAGGGGCTCTTGGACCAGCTCTAGAGCTGGTCCTTTGTTTCTGGGTTCAGGGGACTGAGCTGAAGTTAAGTTGCCAGTGGGAAGTCAAGAAGGGGCCCTGAGAATAGAGTGACACAGGAGCTTTCTAGTATGAGTTTTGGCTAAGATGCATGATTAGAACTTTATCCCCTGTGTTGAGGAAGCCAATACAGCCTTCAGGCTTCATGTTTACCAAAACCTGTGCTCTATTTCTCAGACCCTTTTTTTCCTGTTTACTTTTTGGTTTCTCATGAAGGAGAGATTAGACTTAGATATAAGACTAAAGCTTGCAGCTCTAGAGGCAGTTATCCTCCCTGGGCCATGGGTCACCGAAGGGCAAAGGCCCTCAGTCTGAGGAGCATTTTTCTCTTTAGAAAACCCTGGACTTACCCCTGAGGACCAGCACTGGCCCTGGTGATCTCCTCTTGGAGTGTCTGTGACCGCTTGCCTTCTTCTGGGAAGAGATGGCACGTGGGTAGACAGAGGTGCTCTGGTGCAGCACTTGTTTACTCTCCTTTCCCACCCTCAAGCGGATATGAGAGGATAATCCTTGAATTTGGTGTCCTCTAGAATTATAAAATTAAACTATTGTGTGAACATATCACCAAAGATATCTTCTCCTTTGTCTTTCATCTGATAATTGGGGACCTGTGACCTCCTTTAAATCCCTTCTCTTATGTGGCTAAATCCAGTTGCCCTCCTCCAAATTTGTCACAGCTTTACTGTGCTGTTATAGACTTCTTTAACATTTATTGCTGTTAAACCATATATTTCCTCCCCTTAGCCTTTGTAGTTGTTTTTGAACTTAAAAAATTTAATACATGTATTTATCTTGTTAGATTCAACTTTGCTTTTAAGCTGTTGAAGTCTTTTTGAATCCTGAATTTCTGTCCAGCAAGTTGGCCATCCTTTTTAGCTTTGTGATATTTACAGATGATCGTCATAAACTCTATTTTTCTTTTCTTTTTTTCCCCTAAGTTAAAATCTTGGTCAGGCATGGTGGCTCATGTCTATAATCCTAGTACTTTGGGGGGCCAAGGCAGGAGGATTGCTTGAGGCCAGGAGTTCAAGACCAGCCAGAGCAATATATCGAGACCCCTTTCTTGACAAAATATTAAAAAAGAAAAAATTCCCTGAGCATGTTGACACCTTCCTGTAGTCCCAGCTACTCGAGAGGCTAAGGCAGAAGGATGGCTTGAGCCCAGGAGTTTGAAGTTGCCCTGAGCTATGATGATGCCACTGCACTGTAGCCCAGGCAACAGAGTGAGACCTTGTCTCAAAACAAACAAACAAACAAACAAACAAAAAACCTTGGCAGGGCCTTTGGCATTGCCACCGGCTTCTTTTTCCAAATTGATCTTGGTACATTAATCCACTGTTATTCTGTCATGCAGTGTTTCAACCATTTATAAATCTAGCCATTCTACTTTCCTCTGGACCATATGTCTCCATCTTGTCCACAAGGATATCCTGGATTTGTCCAGATTTCTTGCTAAAGCCCAGGTACTCCTTTGCCAGAGAAGTCTATTAATGGCATGGTGAGAATAGCTTCACATTTCTAGTTGGAAGACCAGAGTTCAAGTTTTCAGCTCCACCTTGTATAAAACAGTTACTTGGGCCAAATTGCTTAATCTTGCTAAGCTTCAGTTTACTTATGTATAAAGTAAGTATAATTTACCCTCTCACACAGGGTTATTGTGATAGTTAGATGGTATTTATGAAAGGGCTTTGTAAACTGCAAGAACTAGACATACAGTTGTCAGCTCTTAATAGTAACCCTGTTAATAAAGGAATGAAGCTCATCCAGCATGACTTGATCTTTTTCAGCAGGCTGGTTCTCAGTGATTATGCTTCTGTTTTATAGGTGTTCACTAATCATCTGCTTAGTAATTTGTCACAAAGTTTTGTCTGGAATTCACTTAAACTTTCCAGTCCACAGGGTCTGGAATGTAGTTTCATCCTCTTTAGCAAAGTGGGGTATTTCCCCTCTCTCTTATTCTTTAGGACTGCAGACAGAGCTTCAGCAGTCTCTTAGGCAAGTTCTCTCAGCCCCTGGGATGTGATTCAGCTGGGCCCAGGAGGCTGGAACTCCTTTAGCGCAGCTGAATGCCTTGTTAAGATCTTATCCAGCTTCAGTCCCTTCTCACCTGTGTTTGTTCTTCATTTTAAGTATTATTTTCTTTGACAGGGAAAACAAGTGTAAAATAAGAGTTAAACAGTTTATCTTCCTTCCTGTTATTTATTCATGTTGCATAACTTGGAGATGGAATGTGACTGAACTTATGTACGTGATTTCCTAAATGACACACTTACCCATACACAAATTAAATGGAGAAAAAAAATCTGAAATCTTCTATTTTTGCACCTCTAATCTCTATGGAAAATTGGAATGACCTTTACTTTTTAGTTCACAGAGCAAATAATACTAATAATAATACCTAAAGGGTAAAAGCCAACATAAGCTTGATATTTAAAAATAACTAATTTATTTTCTTCTTAAATCTTTTGCTTGGGAAATGTTGTATGAGTATCATTGATATGTGAAAAATACATTATATCTGATATGTATGTTGAGATGAATATACTGTCAATTAAGAGGTTTTTGACAATAAAAGGTTAACATTTTAAATCAGTCTACTGAGATACAGATAGGAATGTATAATAATTCTATATGGATATTCTATTTTGTTTAGGTAAAATGGACTATGGAAGTAATTTGCTATGGACTGACTCTTCCATTGGATGGAGAGACTGTAAAATACTGTGTTGATGTATATACGGATTGGATTATGGCTTTAGTGTTGCCGAAAGATTCTATTCCATTGCCAGTTATTAAAGAACCTAATCTATATGTTCAAAGTATACTAAAACACCTGCAAAATCTTTTTGTACCAAGGTAAGCTATACCTATCTGGCCTATTATTAGGATCATAGTAAAATATTCATAAATGTTACTGTTTTATAGGAGCTGATTTCATCGTTAGTCTTAACAGTGACTTTACTCATTCAATTAAAGAGTGTATTAATATGAATGATAGGATAGATGGTCTTATATAATTGTGTACTCGAGTTTTTAACAGGTATGTGTTCATTTTAAAAGCTTTTGGCTTCTACAATCTGATAGCTATTAGATACTAAAATACTGCAACATCCTTTCTTTCTCAAAAAAACATACATTTGCCTATTCTTGTCTCCACTTAAGCAAAAGGCAACTAAATCTTCTACTTTAAAATGAATCTTTCCTATAAGATAATGAAGATACTTGAAATTGTTATTAAATTTGTAGTAAGCCAAAGGATTACTCTTAACTATTGTTACTGATTTTTTTCCATCTTCTGAGGCAAAGGCCTTAAATATCATAATGTAAGATTATCTGTCTTAGTTGTGCTTAATTTTAATTTTATTTTCTGATTGTAAAAGAATTGTACATTCTTGTAAAAATTTTGGGGATACAGAAAAGAATGGAGAAGAAAATTAGTTTCCTACCTGTTTGTGAAGATCTGTTTTCAGCCATGTTTTATGTCTGTGAAGGGGCAATGGAACTTGTCTCCTTTTGGAAAAGTTCTGGTTAGGGCTTTTGGTCAGTTAGATGGTGAGGGACTTTGAAAACCAGGTCTGTAAATTTTACTTTCTAAATATAGAAGGAAGATTACTTTGGAAAATCTGAATGAAAAAAGAGAAATCTCCATTAAGAACTCTGGTTGTTGATTTAGTGCAGACAACTTACCTTGCATGAAATGCCTGCTGTAATCTTGCCCCTAACCAGACTAGATGTGCTAATTCTGCATGAGCCCTGCTCTTTAGTCAGACTCATAATTTAAACATTCCCCTGGGACTCCTTGAAGATCTTTCCCATCATCATCTGTCCTTTTGTCTTCCTCCTCCCTTTCTCCATCTCTAAGCTGTCCACAGCTCACTCTTATTGGCTCATCTTTTTTTTTTTTTTTTTTTTGTCTCACTGTGTTGCCCGGGCTAGAGTGCCGTGGCGTCATCCTCGCTCACAGCAACCTCAAACTCCTGGGCTCAACCGATCTTCCTGCCTCAGCCTCCTGAGTAGCTGGGACTACAGGCATGCGCCACCATGCCCGGCTAATTTTTTCTATATATTTTTAGTTGTCCAATTAATTTCTTTCTAATTTTAGTAGAAACGGGGTCTCGCTCTTGCTCAGGCTGGTTTCGAACTCCTGAGCTCAAACAATCCACCCGCCCCGGCCTCCCAGAGAGCTAGGATTACAGGCGTGAGCCACCGCGCCCGGCTTATTGGCTCATCTTAAACTCTGCGTTGCAAGGACAAGTCTAACCTGACAGCCCAGGCCCACAGCAATCACACTTTCTCTGAACCTGTATGGTACTTCCTGTACCACTCTTGTGTCTCTCACTGTTTTATTGCTTATCTTTTAAAATGTGTATGTTTCCTTTCCCCATCTAACCAACTTGAGGGCAGAAACTGTGCTGTCTATGTTTTGGGCTTCCATAGTACCTGGTACAGTACTGGTATTGTCTTAGATGTGAATTAAGTGCTTGTTGCTTGTATTTATTGATTTCAAATGGAAATAATAGGAAATGGTTGTCAGTACTAGCATATTGTTTGTAGGTAAGCAGGTTCTTCTAAAATGGTATAATAGCTTTAATGCTTTCTTGTCATCCCATTTAGGAAACTAATTTACTGGTTTTTTTCTTTGTGCTTAGGACAGTCTCATGAGTTGTATCATCACTGTGTCTCTTTCCCCATCGTACCCTTACCACCTCTCAGTGCTCAGTTAATTTGTATTGCCGAAAAAAACTAATGGCCTTTGAGTTAATTAGGCTTTTGCTCTTACTTTTCTCTTTTGTAAAACATGATTACCTTATAAATTGTTTTACTATTTGGTAATTAGCTTGTTTTCTCCAAAATTTGTGTGCATAAGAGTTAGTACATTCCAAGAGGGTATAGAACTGAGTATTAGAGTTTTTTTTCATGGCCAGTGATGTCTTAGGAAGATTAGCTGAATATTTTCAGTGCTTAATATTGGTGTTATGATCTCATCTCCAATTATTTGAAATTTCATTTATTTGATTCAGATCATAAAATAGTCAACTAAGTTTACTTAATTAGTTGGTTTTGTAAGAACTGACACTCAAAATAGAGGAAACTGCCGTTTTGCTAGAGATTAAGGCAGAGTACATGTAACCTTTTTCTTTTGTCCATCAATTTGATTTTTTTCATAATTGAGTGAAGAATGAACCATTTTTTAAAATCGATTAAGGTTTAATTGCTCCAATATACAGTACTTTAAAAAACATATTGTTCTAAAGCAGTGGTTAGTTTACTTTTTATGTAAAGAGCCAGTTAGTAAGTATCTTAGGCTTTGTGGACGATACAGTGTCATAATTACTCAACTCTGCTGGTGTGGCATGAAAGCAGCTGTAGACAGTACACAAATGAATGAACACGACTATGTTCCAATAAAAGTTGTAAGTACAAAGATGGAAGGCCAGGTTTGTAAATTCTATTTACAGGCTAGATTTGACCCATCGGCCATAGTGCACCAGCCCCTGTTGTAAAACAGCTTTTCTAGAGATCACAAGTTACTCTTGAAAATTTTGGGGGGAAAGGAAAATCTCTGGTGTTTAGACCTTTTGTTTATTTTTATGTAAAGGTTACTTTATTTCTCTTAGCTTTAGAAACTTGGACCCTGCTCCTGAATTTAGGCCTTCTGAGTGAGGAGGAGCCTCAGTACCCGAGGAGCAGGTATTTCCTTTCCTGCCAGTGGGCAAGTACCTGGAAATTGTAGGTAGGCCTAGGTTACCATTTGGGAGGCACGCAGTGTTATTGCTAGCTTGGAAGAGTTATCACTCCCAGGGCCGCTAGTGATGTTTTTATTTCTTATCCTGGGCTTCCTCTTATATGGCTAGTTGAAGTTTGGGGCTATTATTATAACTTCTTGTTTTCCTTCAGGTAAATCGGAGCAACAGGTACAAACTTGAGTTCATGGCTTTACATGGATTAGATTCACCTTTAACTCAATGTGGGACATCTCCCTGCTCTTGGGGGTGCTTGGCTTTTCCTAGACAATTGTCTCATCATTTTGCTTTAGGTCTGACTTCTTTAGGGAAAACTTAGTGGTATCATTTACTTGCAACTCCAGGATAAGTGTCCAGTTTTCTGGGTCATGGCCCAGAATCTGAGAATCTCTATTTTAAGGTTGGGATGAGGGTTCTAGGGGCAATCTCTTCATTTTCTGGAATTTCTCAAGGAGGTTCTAAGATTCCCTACGGTGATTTAGACATGTTTCTGAAATCCTTTTTAGACTGTGACAATCACAATGTCTAGAAATTTGGCTTAAAGATTTATTTAAGAAACATTAGACACTTGTCTTAGGTTTCACAAAAGAGATCTTGAGGCCATCTCACCATTTGCTAATACAGTAGGTTTCTACTATTCTCAAAATTCTTAGTGGTTCATTTTGGAAACTAAGAGTAAAGGCTGGGGCTTGGACCTCTATCTTCCTCTTTAGTCCTAGCCACAATACTTTGATCTATTTTACAGATTGCCCTTCTTTATGAGATTTCCGAGAAAAATGGTCCTGCAGACTAAAGAGAGTTTTAAAACTTTTGTTCCAGGGTATCTTGGGAACCTTTGGAGCCTACATTTTTGGTTAAATTTTCTTTTTTATTAGAGCAGCAGTAGCAGGTGCTCATTTCTGAGGCAATGCCTTCCCTCCTCATCAATTCTGGGGACCTGTTAGGCTATTCCATTGGGCCCATAGGCTTTTCTCTAACAGATATGCACTTTGGAGAGACTGTGAGCATTGTGAAATCACATGCAGAATTCTTATGAATGTATGTTTAACAAAACTTCAAAACAATGGAAAGGCCCTTTAGGTTGAGTGTGAGCAGCTGGGGTGGCTGTGGGTATTTACTCATTCATTCAGCAGACATCTATTGGGTGCCTGCTATTATATGTTAGGCACATTTTAGACATAGAAAATCCAGAAGTCAAGTTTACATTCTAGTGTTTCCTCCTTTCTCCCAGAAGCTTTCCATATTCTCAGAGGAGTGGTAGGTTGAGTTCCCAGAGTGCCAAACTATACAACAGGGAAGAAGTAGGTCTAAACTGAAGAGGGTGTGCTTAGCCCTCTCTGCCATACTGTTAGGGAGCTTCATTGGACCGCTGCTTGCTGCATCCATAAGTCACCTATTCTTAAGCTGTTGCTATCTCTCCTCCAGGCTTGTCAGTGATATCTGTCTGTGTTCTTCAGACAGGAACAGGGTTCCAGTCAGATCCGACTATGCTTACAAGTCCTGAGAGCCATTCAGAAACTGGCCCGTGAGTCATCTACCATGGCCCGAGAAACCTGGGAAGTCTTACTGTTGTTTCTTCTGCAGATTAATGACATACTTCTGGCCCCGCCAACTGTTCAAGGTTTGTTTATTTTTTTTTTTCCTAATTTTTTTCCTGAGCTTCAAATACAGTTCAGCTTTAAACTCAATGAGTGATAGAATCATTAGGGATTTAAATTTTTGGCATGACAGTTTACAAATCAAGGTTAATAATTCTTAAAATGGAAACCCTCAAAAGCACAATATGACTTTAGCACTAATGAATTTATTTTACCTTTAGTGATGATTTTGCTAAGGTAGGGAGGGACTCAGTGAATTATGTGTGTTTGATAATGATAGGAACTATAGCTTGTTTAGTATATTAGGATAGAGCCTGTATAAGATACAACTAACTAATTACATTAGAGCCTATAGATAATGTACATCATTACAAGTAGTTATCAAAGTAGACTCTGAAAACTTGAGTGACAGAAGGTATTTCACTTAGCAAATGAAGCCTCTAAAGTTTTTAAGTGTTCTATTTGGAAGTATGCCAGTATACCATTTATTAGCTAGTCATTAAAAAGCCTCCAGTTTTATACGACTTTAGAGTATATTTCAGAAACCCTGCTTTGTGTGTTATAACACGGTGTACACAAACTGTAAGTCGATCATCTAGTTCCAAGTTCCCTTGTTGCTTCTTCATCTGCGTACTCTCTCTGCTGACACTCTTTACTGAGTGTGCCTGTACTCTCAAACAGATGCAGTAACCAGGCAAATATCTAAAAGAAATCACAGAATTTTAGTGTGGGAAGGGACCCCATAAGAGTACTACCCTGTCTGGTATTGATGATAGCTGGCCAATCGTTGATTCATCGGCTCTTTGCTACTCACTTCCCATGCCAGGGATCTCAGGCACGAGGCAGGCAATTCATCCCCTTCTTGAGCTCTTTGTTGTTGAAACTTTGGTTTTGCTTATTTGAAATACACATCCTTATAACTTTTTCTGCTAGTTTCAACTTTGCCTTCTGGAGCTATGCAGGGTAAAGACCACTGCTGTTGTTTCTCCTGGTTCCAGGGCTCATAACAGAGGAGCAGCTCTGTTTTCATGGTTAAGGCTCTGTCCTGCCCAGCACCAGTCCTTCTGCTACTGTGTTTGTCTCTCTCTTTCCCTTGAAGGGTGGCTTTTAAATACCCAGGGCATTTTATGACAAAGTTTGGAGGTAGAAAGACCTGGATGTTTGTTTTGATTCTCCCTGGCTGTGTGAACTTTGACAAGTTACTTAAACTTCCTAAATCTAAGTTTTTTCATCTTCAAGATGGATATAATTAACAGTTGGTATTAGGCATTACAAATACCTATCCTGCAGAATTAATGTGAAGATTATGTGAGGTCATATGTATGAACTAGTTGGCACATAAAGTAGTCACGCATTCATCCTAGGCACTTATCCTTTTCATTCTTTCCTGTGTGCCACTGTCTCCCTTGCTGGAAGATTAAGATCTTCAGTAAAAACTGAGCAGGACCACTTGAAAACTTTCAAAGTAACAATTTGTTGAGGCATAGGTATCCATGATTTTCTTCACAGAGCTCCTAAGAATTACTTTTCATTATTACTATTAAATAGTTATTTGAAAGTCAAAACTTAACATTGCAGTTATTTTAATTTTTTCCCCAATTCTCCTAAATTAGTGAATTAAGATTCTGTTTTAAAAATAAGTTTGCCAAAGATATTTTCTTTTTATTGGTAAGGTGGCATTGCTGAGAATCTGGCAGAGAAGTTGATTGGTGTTCTCTTTGAGGTGTGGTTACTAGCTTGTACTCGGTGCTTCCCAACACCTCCTTATTGGAAAACAGCCAAGGAAATGGTGGCTAACTGGAGGCACCACCCAGCAGTGGTGGAGCAGTGGAGCAAGGTCATCTGTGCACTCACTTCCAGGTAGGTTCTTGTTGACTTTCCTTCCTGCACCTGTCTGACCTTGGGCAGCTTTTCTCTGGTTCTGTCTTTCTGGGATTCATGGAATACATTATAAAAAGACTGAGTCTATTGTCACTGCACTTTAGATATAGAACTGAGCCACTTTCAAAAAATAGGTGAAACAGTTTGGCTGGTGCTGTCTAAAACCTTTCAGAATAATCAAGTATTTTTGAGAAGCAGATAGATTCTACGTCCTATGCCCCCCAAAAAATCCCACTTTTACTCTGATTATTAAAATGTGCGTGATCATTATTTTAAAGAAACAAACTATAGAAAGGTATAACAGAAAAAGTTAAGTTTTCCAGAAATCCTACCATATATATTTACATATAATTTTACAGAAATAAGTTCATACTGTACATGCTACTTTATAACCAAAGTCAGTTCTTTATAATATCACTGTTCTGTGAGTAAACTGTTAGGTTCATTTTTTCAGACCTGTTTTTCCATCTCAGACCTACATATTTTAATATGTAGGCATACCTCGTTTTATTGTACTTCCCTTTATTATACTGCACAGATAACGGCATTTTTTTACAAACTGAAGGTTTGTGGCAGCTCTGCCTTGAGCAAGTCTATTGGTGCCATTTTTCCAACAGCATGTACTCACTTTGTGTTCCTGTGTCACATTTTGATAATTCTCACATATTTCAAATTTTTCATTATTATTATATCTGTTATGGTGATCTGTGATCAGTGATCTTCGATATTACTATTGTAATTGTTTTGGAGTGCCATGAACTGTGCCCCATATAAGACGGTGAACTTAAATCATCAGTGTTGCATGTCTTTTGACTGCTCCACCAACCAGCTGCTCCCCTATCTCTCTCCCTCTCCTAGGGCCTCCTTAATCCCTGAGACAAAATGATGCTAAAATTAAGCCAGTTAGTAACCTTACAATGGCCTCTAAGTGTTCAGGTAAAAGGAAGAATTGCACGTCTCTCACTTTAAATCAAAAGCTAGAAATTGATTAAACTTTTTAGGGAAAGTGTGTTGAAAGCTGAGGTAGCCGGTATGGTGGCTCACACCTATGATCCTAGCACTCTGGGAGGCCCAGGTGGCAGGATTGCATGAAGTCAGGAGTGCGAGACCAGCAAGAATGAGACCTTGCCTCTACTAAAAATAGAAAAAATTAGCCAAGCATGGTGGCATACGCCTGTAGTCCCAGCTGATCAGGAAGCTGAGGCAGGAGGATCACTTGAGCTCAGGACTTTGAGGTTGCAGTGAGCTATGATGACGCTGCTGCACTCTAGCTGGGGCGACAGAGCGAGACTCTGTCTCAAAAAAAAAGAAAGCCAAGGTAGGCTGAAAGCTAGGCCCATTCCACCAGTTAGCCAAGTGTGAGTGCAAAGGAAAAGTTCTTGAAGAAAATGAAAAGTGCTACTCCGGTGAACACATGAAAGATAAGAAAGTGAAACAGTCTTATTACTGACACGAAAAAGTTTGAGTAGTCTAAATAGAAAATCAAATTAGCCATAATGTTCCCCGACACCAAGGCCCTAACTCTCTTTAATTCTATGAAGGCTGAGAGAGGTGAAGAAGCTGCAGAAGAAAAGTTTAAAGCTAGCAGAGGATGGTTCATGAGGTTTAAGGAAAGAAGCTTTCTCCTTAACGTAAAAGTGCAAGATGTGAAGCAGCAAGTTATCCAGAAAATTTAGCTAAGAACATTGATGAAAGTGGCTACACTAAACAATAGATTTTTAGTGTAGATAAAACATCCTTCTATAGGAGGAAGATGACATCTAGGACTTTTATAGCTAGAGAGAAGTCAGTATCTCGCTTCTAAGCTTCAGAGGATAGGCTGACTCTTTTGTTAGGGGGTAAGGCAACTGGTGACTAAGTTGAATCCAATGCTCATTACCATTTCAAAAATCCTAGGGCCCTTCAGAATTGCTAAATCTACTCACTCTGCCTGTGCTCCATAAATGGAACAACAAAGCCTTGATGACAGCACATCTGTTTATAGCATGGTTACTGAATATTTTAAGCCCATCGTTGAAACCTATTGCTCAGAAAAAAAAGATCTCTTTCAAAATATTCCTGTTCATTGACAATCTACCAGGTCACTGAAGAGCTGTGATGGAAATGTACAAGGAAATTAATGTTTTCATGCCTGCTAATACAGCGTTCATTCTGTAACCCATGGATCAAAGAGTAATTTTGACTTTCAGGTCTTATTATTTAAGAAATACAGTTGACCCTTGAACAACATGGGTTTGAACTATATGGATCCATTTATTCTTGGATTTTTTTCAGTAAATATGTTGGACAATTTTTTTGGAGATTTGTGACAATTTAAAAAAACTCACAAACTGCATAGCCTAGAAATATTGAAAAAATTTAAAGTTAGCTGTGTCATCAATGCGTAAAATATATGCATGTATGCATATATATGTATATATGTAAATATTAGTCTTTTCTTATTTACTGCCATAAAATATACACAGATCTATTCTAAAAAGTTAAAATTTATCAAAATTTGTGCACACGAACACAGACTGTATGTGGCACCATTTGTAGTAATGTAAACACAGAGAAATATAAATAAAGACGAGATATTAAATCATAACTGCTTAAAATTAACTGTAGTACATACTGTACTACTATAATAATTTCATAGCCACCTGTTGCTGTTATGGAGAGCTCAAGTGTAGCAGATATCTGCTTAAAATGCCGTGTGATGCTAATTATCTCAGCGTGAGCAGTTCATCTCTCCAGTAAATTGCGTATCATGGTGAAAAGTGATCTCTCATGGTTTTGGGGTATTTTTCATCGTGTTTAGTGCAATACCATAAACCTTGAATCAGTAACACCATCAGATCCATATGAAGTGCCACTAATAATGCTGGAAGTGCTCCCAAGAAGCAGAGAAAAGTCATGACATTACAAGAAAATGTTGAATTGCTTGACATGTACTGTAGATTGAGATCTGCAGCTGTAGTTACCTGCCATTTCAGACAGATGATTCATCCTGTAAACAGATTACGTAAACGTATGGTATCAAGAAATACAGTAGAGTACTTATGGTAAATATATTTTCTTTTCCTTATAATTTTCGTTTTTTTCTTTTTTTGTTTTTTTAAGAGACTATCTCACTATGTTGCCCAGGCTGAAGTGCAGTAGCTGTTCACAGATGTGACTATAGTGCAAGGCAGCCTCGAACTGGGCTCAAGAAATCCTCTTGCCTCAGCCTCCCAAATAGCTGGGAGTACAGGCATGTGCCACCACACCTGGCTTATGATTTTCTTAAGCACATTTTCTTTCTTTCTTTCTTTCTTTTTTTTTTTTGAGACAGAGTCTTGCTCTGTTGCCCGGGCTAGAGTGCCATGGTGATAGCTTAGCTCAGAGCAACTTCAAACTCCTGGGTTCAAGCAATCCTACTGCCTCAGCCTCCTGAGTAGCTGGGATTACAGGCGTGCGCCACTGTAATCCCAACTCATTTTGTACATATATATTTTTTTAATTGTCCAGGTAATTTATTTCTATTTTTTTTAGTAGAGACGGGGTCTCGCTCTTGCTCAGGCTGGTCTTGAACTCCTGAGCTCAAACGATCCACCCGCCTTGGCCTCCCAGAGTGCTAGGATTACAGGCATGAGCCACCCACCACGCCGGGCCTTAAGCACATTTTCTTTTCCCTAGCTTTATTGTAAGAATATAATGTATAATATATGTAACCTACAAAATATGTATTAATTGATTATGTTATAGATAAGGCTTCTGGTCAAAAGTAGGCAATTAGTAGTTAAGGTTTTAGAGAGTTAAAAGTTACATGTGGATTTTTGACTTTGTGTAGGGGGTTGACACCCCTAACCCCCATATTTTTCAAGGATTAACTATACATTTTGTAAGGCTATAGCTGCCATAGGTTGTGATTCCTGTGATGGACCTAGACAAAAAAAATTGAAAACCTTCTGGAAAGGAGTCATCATTCTAAATGCCATTAAGCATATTCATGATTCATAGGAGGAGGTCAAAATATCAACATTAATAGGAGTTTGGAAGAAGTCATGGATGACTTTAAGGGGTTCATGATTTCAGTAGAAGTAATGCAGATGTGATAGAAATACCAAGAGAACTAGAATTAGAAGTGGAGCCTGAAGATGTGACTGAATAGCTGCAGTCCCTTGATAAAACTCAAATGGATGAGGAATTGCTTCTTACGGATGCGCAAAGAAAATGGTTTCTTGAGATGGAATCTACTGGCAAAGATGCTCTGAACATTGTTGATAAGACAACAAAGGATTTAGAATATTACATAAACATAATTGGTAAAGCAGTGGCAGGGTTTGAAAGAATTGACTCCAAATTTGAAGAAAGTTCTACGGTGGGTAAAATGCTATCAAACAGCATCTTGAGCTACAGAGAAACTTTCATGAAAGGAAGAATTGATTGATGTGACAAACTTCATAGTTGTCTTATTTTAAGAAACTGCCACAGCCACCCCAGCTTTCAACAACCACCTCCCCAATCAGTCAGCAGCCATCAACATCGAGGCAAAACCCTCCACTGGAAAAAGATGACGACTTGCTGAAGGCTCAGATGATCATTAGCATTTTTTAGCAACAAAGTATTTTTTAATTAAAGTATATATATATTTTTTAGACATAGTACTATTACATACTAAATAGACTATAGTGTAGTATAAACATAACTTTAATATGCACTAGGAAACCAAAAAATTCATGTGACTTGCTATTGCAATATTTGCTTTATTGGGATGGTGTGGAACTGATCCTGCAATAGCTTGCAGGTATGCCGGTATAATTCTAGATATAGATAAGGAATCTTTCAAAAACATCATACTACTGTTATCACACCTAAAAATGTTGACAGTTCTTAAACATCAGCTGGTCAGTGTTCAAATTTCCCTGTATAGTAGGCCTTACATATCCATGGGTTCTGCATCCATGGATTCAACCAACCGTGAATCAAAAAAAAATTCCAGAGGGGGAGGGGAGAAAAAAAATTCCATTAAGTTTCAAAAAGCAAAACTTGAATTTGCCTTGTACTGCAAGTACTGCATTGAATCCACATGAATATATGCATTTTATTAGGTATTATAAGTAACTTAGAGATGATTTAAAGTATACAGGAGTGTGTGTGTAGGTTATATGCAAATACTGCACCAATTTATTTAAGGGACTTGAGCATCTGTGGATTTTGGTATCTGAGGGGGTTCCTGCATGAATCTTCCACCATACCGAGGGACAACTGTATAGGTTTCTACTTTCTTATTTTTATTTCTTTGCATTTTTTTTTTGTTGTTGTTGTTAAGGAAACTGGGTTGTTTGTCTCATAGAGTGTTTCACATTCTGGGTTTTTCTGATTATGTCCACATTGTTAATTAATATGTTCTCCTGCCCCCCTGTGCTTCCTGTAAACTGTTAGTTAGATCTAGAGGCTTGATCTGATTAAGGTTTGACTGGGGACAAAGGGAAGAGGTGGGAGGAACAAGTACTTTGTAAGTGGTGTTATGTATCAGAAGGTAGACTGCCCTTTTTCTGAGTTAATGTTTATATCTTTTATCATCATTTAAACTAAAAGATGAAGTTTGGAATATTCTGTTGATTCTGGTATATGATGGCAAACATCAATATTATGAATCTGTTTTTAAATAATTCTTTTATCTTGACTATAAAAGCAATACATGCTTATAATAGAAAATTTGGAAAATGTAGGGACAAATGTCTATCATTTAGAGATAACCTATGTTAACATTTTAATGTATTTTTTGCCATTTAGTTCCCTTTTTTACAACACCAATTTGAGGCTGGGTGTGTTGGCTAACACCTGTAATCCTAGCACTTTGGGAGGCCAAGGTGAGGGGATTGCTTGTGGCCAGGAGTTTGAGAGCAGCCTAGGCAATGTATTGAGACCTCCTATGTATACAAAAAATTGAAAAAATTAGCCAGGCATGGTGGCTTGTGCCTGTAGTCCCAGCTACTTGGAAGGCTGAGGCAGGAAGATCACTTGAAGTGATCTTCCTCGGAGTTTGAGGTTGCAGTGAGCTATGATTGTGCCGCTGCACCACTCTAGCCCGGGGCCTGGGTGACAGAGCGAGACCCTGTCTCTAAAAAAAAAAAAAAAACACCCAAAACAATTTATGATTATTCTATATAATATTGTTATGTGCTTTTTTTGGTGCTGATTCTTGTCACTTTAGTTACATGTGCTTTTTTTCATTGTTAAATAGCTCTCAAGATCATATTTTTATTGGCTTTGTAGTTTGTTATATAAATGGAATTATAATTCATTTAATAATTTCCTTGTTTTGATATTCATGTTGTTCCCAGTGTTTTACTTGTAAAATATTGTAGATATGAGTACTTTATACATAGTGTTTGTATGTGTTCTGATTATTTTGTGAAGATATAATCCCTAGATATAGAATAATTGAGTCGAAGGGCTTTGACCAGTTTTAATACATTTAGAATATTACCTTTTTTTTTTTGAGACACAGTCTTGTGTGTCTCAAACTCCTGGCCTCAACTGTCCTCTTGCTTCGGCCTCTCAGAGTGCTAGGATTACAGGCGTGAGCCACTGCACCTGGCCTAGAATATTACTATTAAGTAATTCAGTCATTGAATTGAGTTACTTTTATGCTGCACAATAAATTCTAACCTCCATGTAAAGTTATTATGAATAAGTTATAGCTTAGTTATATTGAAGAAATTTGCAATGGGATGAATCTTTTAAAAATAATTTATATTTTAAATTATATGATTAATTATATCATTATATAAATATATAATTTTATAGTAATACGTGATATATAAATAATGAATTATTTAAATACCAAATTTAAATAATTTAAATGTTTTAAACAATTAAAATATCTTTTTTAATTGACACATAATTATACATATTTATGGACTACATAGTGATATTTTGATACATATTGTAGACAGTGAACAGATCAGGGTAGTTCACATATCCATCATCTCAAACATCAAAAACTAGAAATCCCCTTTCAGTTTGTCTGTTTTATAAATGAAGGTTTTCATACGTCTTGTTCTCTTATATGAGGTACATATGTTCCAGCTATTTTCTCTTAAGTTTCTATGCTTGAGTGTATTTTTCATTCTTTTAAATGATTTCAGTGGTGTGCTTTTTTTTTTAGATTGCTACGCTTTACCTATGGTCCTTCATTTCCTCCATTTAAAGTTCCCGATGAAGATGCCAGTCTGATCCCTCCAGAAATGGATAACGAGTGTGTTGCACAGACATGGTTTCGCTTTTTACATATGTTAAGGTATTGTTATGTTATTATCTCCTGTGCGTTAACCCAGGACGTGTCTTACGGCAGGAACCATGCTGAACTCTCTTGTTTGAATTCAGAGTGTGGCTGCTAAGCACAATCCTTCAAATGGAGCCAGATTAGACAACAGACACATCCATATCATGTGTCTCTCGCTCTCCCCGTCCCAGCAGGGTTAGGCTGTTCTCAGCTGCTCCTGGTTTACACTTTCTAGGAAATTGTTCCCTGCGGTAGTTGCAGCACTTGTTTTCTTGCCTGTGGCTGCAGTCTGGATGATGTGCTCTTTTCTAGGACTTCGTCACATTCTGTGGGAACTGGATATTGCCTTGCTCCTCTCTGTGTCCAGCATTGACTGGTCAGTCTGCCTCTCAGGGCCTTCATCTAGTATCCTGTTGTTTAAAATTTCACTGAGAGGTACACCCTGAAATTTCACAGGAGGATGTACCACTACTTCCTGCTGTCCCTTTCTTTATAGTAATTCTGTTCAGTTTAGTTTCATCACTTCCTGCTTGTCCCTCTTCTAACCCAATTCATATTCTCTGTTGGAACTTTTATTCTGTTGTAAACTGTCTGAATCTTAAACTTTTTCCTTGCGTATCTTCTCTTTTTGTTTTTACTAGCCTCATTTTTGTATTTGTATTAATGATTCTAAATTACTCTCCATGACCTTTTTTTTTAATAAATTAGGGATGTTAACCATTTTCTGTCATTTCTTTCCAGTTTATAATTTGTGTTTCTCGGGTCATTTTAGTTTTTGAATGTCTTTTTCTGTGATCATTTTTTTTTTTTTTTTTTTTTGAGACGGAGTCTCGCTCTGTTTCCCGGGCTAGAGTGCCATAGCGTCAGCCTAGCTCACAGCAACCTCAAACTCCTGGGCTCAAGTGATCCTCCTGTCTCAGCCTCCCAGGTAGCGGGGACTACAGGCACTTGCCATGACACCTGGCTAATTTTTTCTATTTTTAGTAGAGACGAGGTCTCGCTCTTGCTCTGACTGGTCTCAAACTCCTGACCTCAAGCAATCCTCCTGCTTTGACCTCCCTGAGTGCTGGGATTACAGGTGTGAGCCACCGCACCTGGCCTGTGATCATTTTCTATTTCCTTTAAGATTAGAAAGTCTTTCTGTGTTTTCTGATCAGGTAGATATTCACCTATGATTTCTTCTAATTTTGTTTCCTTTGTGACATTAAATTCCTTTATATATACCAAGATCTGTATTTAGTTCACATATTATTCCATTAATTTCATTTATTTTTATACCAGATTCATACTTTTAATTTTTTTAACTTTATATTTACTGTTATTTAATAGATCTAATGTCTTTTTCCCTCTTTTCTTCTCTTCTCGCCTGTTTAACATTTCAGATAAATTTTAGAATCAATTTGTCAAGTTAAAAAACACAAGCAAACAGAAAACCCCACAAAACCTTTTGGGATTTGGATTATTTATTAACTAGGGTAAGGAACACATTCTGCTTTAGCAAATGCACCTGAAAATCTTTCATGAAGTCTGGAATGGGGAGTAGCGTTGGTCACATAGTCATTCAGGGACCTGGGTTGGCAGAGGCTCTCCCATCTTCATCACATGACTCCATTGGGGCCTCAATGTTATAAGCAGGAGCTTCATATCTGGCTAGCGGATGGGAGAGGGAGAGCAAGAAAAATTGTGTGGGAGGTTTTCTCTGAGCTAGGCCTTGAAGTGATGTAAATCATTGCTGCTCATATTCCATTGGCCGGAACTCAGACACACACCACACTTAATTGCAAGAGAAAAGAGGAGGAAAAGAGAAAGTGATGGTTAGCTAGCCAGACTCTGCCAAAGATGAGAATTGTATGAAGCCTGTATTTATATTTAGGAAAAGCTGATATATTGAGACCAGCCTGGGCAACATAGTGAGATCCCTTCTCTACAATAAATTTAAAAAAAAAAAAATTAACCGGATGTGGTGGCTCATGGCTGCAGTCCTAGTTACTTGGGAGGCTGAGGCAGGAGGATTGCTTGAGCCCAGGAGTTTGAGGCTGCAGTGAGTTATGATCACACCACTTCACTCCAGCCTGGGCAACAGAGCAAGATTTCATTTCTAAAAAAAAAATTAAAGATACTGTTTTGGCATCCTTCTTTTGTTCTGATTTTCGTTGGAATGCCTCTAATATATGGAATTTTGAGTAGGATATTGGTTGTTGATATTAGATATTCTTTTTTATGCTCCTGGTTTCCTAAGCAATTTAAAAACTTAAAAAATATAAATAAAATCAAGAATAGTACTGAATTTTTTTCAAATCATATTGTGGGATCCATTTAAACAAATGGTTTCTCTTTTTTGACCTACTGATGTAATATATTAATTTATTTCCCGATGTTGAACCATCGTTTATTCCTGAGAGAAAAGTTATGCTTGGTTATGGAATGCTAGTCTTTTAATGTTTTCCTGAGTTTTCTCTAGTTCTATTTTTTGACTAAATTATGTTTTGGTAACTTAAAAAAAAAAAAAAGAATAGGAAAACTTCCTGTCCTCTTTTATTCTCTGTTGTGTGAAAGTTTTCTGTTCCTTAAGAGTTTGAAATAAATGCAGTAAAACTCTAGTCCTGAAATCTTTTTTTAGACATAGTTCTTGGATAATCTTTTCTTATTTCTTTACTCCTAATTGATCTCTGGAGGCTTAATCTTACTTCTTGAGCTGCACCTACTTAAGCAAACGCAGGTGAAAAAGAGGTTATTATGTGAAGATAGAGAGGTCTCGCTGGGCTCCAAGAGTGGTGAACAACCAGTTCTCCTGTTGGGGAGGGATCAAGGCAGCCTTGGGACAAGCCTCTCTGTCATCTGTCTCTCTTAGCTTTTTTGATTCTCTTGTGCATGCAGCTCTCTTTCTCCAGCAGGCTTCCCCCTGAGTTCCTGTTTTCACCTGCCTTTGGGGGGTACATGCAACCCCATGATAAGCGCCCAGTGATGCAAATAGCTGTGACTCTGTATGACTTCATCTCTCGTCCTTTCAGTTCACTGAGGCTTTCCCTTTGTTCAGATTCTCAAAAGGGATAAATTGGATCAAATGATTGTTGTTAATTAGGCTACATTAGTTGTAGGTCTCTAGCAGACATGGATAGACTTGTTTAGTACAGTTTTTCCTCCTTGCTTAAATGAGCTGTGGATGGGTGGGAGGCAGGTCAATGAGGATTATTCAGAAGGGGCTGTTACAGTTATTGGCAGGTTTCCTGGCATGAGGGCTGAATATAATGGGGAGACAGGCATCAGCATTTTGTCTGGTATGGTAATGCTTTATCTTTCCCAGGGAAACCAAAAAATGATTCCCCTTTTTGTTTCTAGTACGAGAAACAGAATATACAAATGCTTGTCCTTGGGCTTGTTTGTGTATGACCACCTGTCCTTCAGGCCCCACCTAGAGATTCTAGTTCAGTAAATTTAGTTGGAATCTGGATTTTTAACAGGCCCCCCAAATGTGTCAGGTACATAGAGCACTGGGAACTGCAGGAATGCAGTTTCTGTTATCTGTTCCATATCCTGAGTTACCCATTTTCATTCCAAATTTTATTTATTTTCTTGAATTTTTTCTCTGAGTATTTGGGTGCCAATAAAATCACTTCTGGTTTATATCTGGAGGAGTGGGTATAAGCCTTTGTCTCCCCAGTTTTCAATAGCTAATAGACATGAATTTAACAGAGCTCTGCTGTACTGAGGTGTAGTCCATTTCAACCTTACTGCCTGTTTTTCTAACTTCTGAGCAGATAAACTGCAACCCAGCAGATACTGCTGCTAGAGATTTCTTACCTCCTCTACTGCACATGATTTTTCATACATTCACACATGTTCCCTTTTCCCCACTTACAGTTATGTGAAATTAAGTCTTTTGGTGGGTGGAAAAAAAGGTTTCAAAGGGTAGAGCATGTATAGGCCATGAAATTCTGTTTCTCAGCCTAGTTCTTTTGCTTTGTAGCTAGTGGAAATTCTATTGGCTATAGGTTATCAATATCACTTTGAATTGGAGAAGCTATTTAATTGATGGCTAAGCAGACCATTTTGAGTAGAAATCTAAATCTGTTTTTTAATGGGAAAAATTTTAAATTATTTTTACATAAAATGTAACTTGAGCCCAAATACATTGTTTTGAAATGTATGAGTCTAGGGCATACACATGAATATAACATAAAAGTGTGAAATGTTAAAGTAAAATTTTTCCTTGGAGTTCTTGTTATTTATATCTTTACCATTCCATTGCTTAATTCCAAATATATTAGAAAAATATCCATGTATATTCTTAAAAAATTAAAACCTTTTGTAGTCTTACTTTGATTCTCATTCTCTGAGGAGGAGGAGGAGTAAGTTCATACAATAAACACAGTGCAGATCTTCTGTGTAAAAAAAAAAAAAAAAGTGTTGATGTTTGAATCCCTAGCCCATTTACTACAGAGCAGTCTGCTCTCTGAATTAAAGAAATAGACACAAACAGTCCCGTTTTTAAATTAGATTGCATATATTTTATTGCTATAGAAATTTCTAAATGTGTAATTAATTCTTCTCTCTCTTTCAATAGTAATCCTGTGGATTTGAGTAACCCAGCTATTATAAGCTCTACCCCCAAATTTCAGGAACAGTTCTTGAATGTGAGCGGAATGCCGCAAGAATTGAATCAGTATCCCTGCCTTAAACATCTGCCTCAAATATTTTTTCGTGCCATGCGTGGAATCAGCTGTCTGGTGGATGCATTCTTAGGTGAATTTTGTGTATGTTGCTAGATGTGTGAAGAACTACATTCAGGTAACTCTAGAGTCTAATACTAGGAGCTGTTACAGAAAACCAAAAGGAAAAGATGAGCAGATCTGATGACAACAAACCAGAAAAAATTATTGGCAGTGAATGTAATAGCTAGAAGGTTATTGTCTTCATATAAATAGATCAAACAAAATGCTAAGAAAAAGAATAAAGCCTAGTAGAAAGATATATGGATAAAGGAATGAATAAATGATTGCAAAAGAGAAAAATGTTCATGCTCACTAGTTTTCCAAGAAAACTAGAAATTAAAATGTATTAGGGTCCAGTCTTATGTATATCATTTGAAAGCAAATTATACCTTTTGTGAACCAATGTTTTAAGCCAATTTTCACATTTTAGATATATAAAAGTCGGCGATATTTGTCATTTTCTAAAACATTTGTTATATTATTAATATATCACACAGGTAATATATTCTGATTAAGTTTTGCTGCCACATAACAAGCAAAAATCCCAGTGTAAACAAGACAGTTTATTTTCACATACATTAAATCTAGGGCTAAGCAGTATAGGGCTGGTATAGCAGTCCTACTCTCAGGGATCCTAGGCCCTTCCATCTGGTGACCCTCCATTGCCTCGTGAGCCATGATGGTTGAGTTTCAACCATCCTCTCTAGGAATTAGGAAGGAAGGTGAGTCTAAAGCCGATTGGTCCTTTTAACGGGATTTCTTGGAAACCCCACCCAACAATCTCCAATTTCTCCATGGTCAAAACATGGCCACATCTAGCTACAAGGGCAACTTCGAAATGGAGTCGTTTATTTTTGTGTAGCCATGTCCAGCTAAAATGTGTGTTCTGTTAGGAAGAAAGGGCGAATGGATATTGGGAGGCCACTAGCATTCTCTGCTATAGTATTAGTCTGTGTTTCCTAAGCCTTCACTAGTATTGCTTGGGGAAGATTTCCTGATCACATATTTTCAACTGTGAGGAATAACTCCATTTGTCTTTTTTTTAAAAAAAGGCATTTCTAGACCCCGATCAGACAGCGCTCCCCCAACACCTGTGAATAGACTAAGTATGCCTCAAAGCGCTGCTGTCAGTACCACCCCACCACATAACCGGAGGCACCGGGCTGTTACTGTGAATAAGGCCACCATGAAGACAAGCACAGTAAGAGTTTACATCACCATTGTTATGTTCTTTATGATTGGCTTTTTAATCTGCCATCCTTTGTATAAAGTCCTGCTGTTTTCTCAAATTTTACATGGGTATGGGTGTATTCTTGTGTTTAACAGGTTAGTACTGCTCATGCCTCAAAAGTTCAGCACCAGACATCCTCCACCTCTCCTCTGTCAAGTCCAAATCAGACTAGTTCAGAACCCCGGCCACTGCCTGCCCCTCGGAGACCAAAGGTTAACAGCATCTTGAATCTCTTTGGATCATGGTTATTTGATGCAGCATTTGTTCACTGTAAACTTCATAATGGGATAAACAGAGACAGCAGCATGACTGGTAAATATTGCTCAAGAAATATGTTATCATTTTTTTCCTTTCCTTTTTTCCTTTTTAGTCTTTCCTACCTGCAAGATTAATATGTATCTTAAAAAGCTCTCTGTTTCTGACCAAGCAATGTCTTGTGCTTAACCCCTTCCAGCTGAAGTAACAGAACTTTGGAAGTTTTCTTATCTGTCCTTTTTATGTATGTTCTATGAGGTTTGGCCTTTTGTCTGGTTTTATAAGATATACTTCAGGTTAGTCTCTTTTTGTTGAATCAAATTCCTTTCAGTAGGTGACCTGGAAGTTCCCTTCATGTCAGCCAGGATAATATTTATATGAAGAATTAAAGGCTTTTACTCACAGGAAGTGTTTTCTTAGATTTTGACAGCCATTCATTCATTAGTACATGTAAATATCAGAAAAGTTTTGCTTCTCAATGGACTCTAACCTCTCAGATTTTAGTTTAGAGAACTTTATTTCAAGGGCACACTTTTGAAAATACCATTTGCTCTGTAACTTAATAAGGCTGACTGGTGTCAGAATTAATAACTCAACTCCTATCTTCATTTAGATTTTATTGTAAAAATGAAACCAAATAAAATCTGATTTATTTTTGCCATCTTACTATTACATTAATACTTGGAAGTAGTGTCATAGAGTGCAGGATGGATGGGTGGGTAGTGCAGAATGTTTTGAATATTTAAGATATGTCTTAGCCGAAAAATAATAATGGTGACATTTATTGAGCAGCTATTACTATGTGCCAGGTACTGTGATATATGCATTAATGAGTGTATTGGTTGTTTGGTAAGAAAGCACTTTTCTATTGGGGTCGGAAATAGATTAAGATAAACAGATGTCCAGTTGCTTTACTTTATCCACCTCCAGGGAGAATCTTAATTCTGAGGATAAAACTAATGGCCATAAGGGTTTCTGCTTTGTTTCAGAAATGCATTCTTAGCTATTTACATCTCAGAACTAGAGTCTATGTCTGTAAACATTATACACATGTCATTATTTTGGATGTTCTTATAAATCTTTTAAGTAATTTAGAAAAACTGTAAATATAAAGATTTTTAGGAATATCATTTGAGAATTGCATGGTTGAGTTTAAGGATTCCTTTGCTTACTTTATTTTGTTCAAATTCAGACGCTTTATATTCTATCATTTCCATATTATAATTTTACTCACAAGTTTGAAAGCAGTGTTTATTTATGGATAAGTAAATGTACTTATGATGACTAAGTGAAAACTTTTTAAAAACCACTTTTGAGTTATATTTTCTTTATGTTCCTGTACCTTATGTTTTGAGCTTCTGAACCATGTTTATATTTGTTAATTTGTATTGTATTTTCTAGAATGAGTCAGTCATATTTTTAAAAAATTTTTATTAAAATGTAATTCTTACAATGTAACTTTGGGGTATAGAGCTGTTGACACTGAAATCCCTGAATCTGGAATAGCTCAACCTGCTGCTTCATTTTTGGGCTTGCTTAGAGGGAGCTTACAGATCTTTGCACTCTCTTAGGGAGTTTGTAACAGCTTTGCTCACCCTTTTGCATCAGAATATAGAAATCAGAATTCAAATCATATGTGAGCAACATCTTTTAACTCTTTAACATTTTCCTTGTCGAGGAGAGGATAGAAGCTCCTCTTCTCATAGTGTTCAGAGATGGTAAAGGCTGTTACGTTAACCAGGAAATAATGAGGTGTCCAAATAGTTGAAGGGGTTAGAATGCTGTTGGGTGCGGTGGGAGGCTTGAGTATACTGACTGTTTTTTAAGTACTGGCTGCCATCAAGGAATTCTGCCCTGCAATTCACCTCTAACTTAAAATGTTTGCTTCTTTGAACTGGTTAGCTTCAGATTTATGTGACAGTACACTGTACTTTGTAAAAGTAGCATTGAGCTGGGAAGGGTTAATGAACTAAAATTTTAATGCACGTTATGGGCAGTTCAAAACCTCAATTCTTTGTAGTTGTGTAATTTTCTTTGTTCATTGTTTTGCATGATACAAAAATCATAATTTTGGACCTGAATGCACAATTTCCTATGTTTTTGAATTAGCTTGTGGTATCGTAAAGCTTTTAATCTAACTTTAAAAAGCTAAAAAGCTTCTTAACTTATTGTAAAATTTCACCATCTTTAAAGTATTTTATAATTACTGCTGTCCTTTGATTTGTTTCCATTTATTTCTATTATCTTGCAGCATCTTTTATCCAAATTCTTCTTTCTTATAAATCTTGTAAGTAGGAACCAGAAGCTTCTCCTTAATTGCAGTCATGTTTTTTTATTTTTTTTCATAATTCCATTAAAAAATTTGATTGTCATTGTCTCTTGTAGTTTTTGCACTTGGGAAGAAAAATACTTTTCTGTGTTTTGAATGGGGAAGATTGTTGGCAAAAGCAAATTAATCTGCCTGAATCAGTCCCATTATTTCTGTATACTAGTCTGGTCATGTCATGAATTCCAGGACTTTGCACTAACTGTGTTTTGGCTTTTTTTTTTTTTTTTTAAAGCTTTAAGCTTATTTTTATACAGATTTAGTGTTTGATTTGTATGCATTCTGCATGTAGTGTTTTTCAAATGTATTATTGCTGGATAGCTTATTCAGGACTAAAAATGGCTCATGGGAAGTTGCATAAAGATTTATGCTTGACTCTGCATTCTATCAAATCTATTATTACAAAATAATTTAAGCATTTCATGTAGAGTAATAAAAGATTTCAGAGTGATTTTCAATACACTGTGAAATCTTTTGTTGAAAAATAAAAGCAACTTTCAAAGGGCTTCTGTTTCAGTGATATGAATAATTATGATAATCTTTCTTACCAATCCAATTTTCTGATTTATCAACCTCAAGTTAGCTGCTGTCTGTGGTTGTTAAAATTCATTCTCATTTTGCTTGGTTGGGCGATTCTTTGGTGTGTGTTTTGGAGTTGGTTGGGTGGGTGGGAATGCTTTCTCTTCCTCCCTACCCATTTCTCATTTTTACCTTGCCCTCTCCCTAAAGTATACAAACTGGCATGGGGTTGCCCATTTAATTATGATATCTATCTGAGGTAATGTGTAAGTTGCAGTAGCTAATGTTTAAGTATCATTCTACAGAGGGAGGAAAAAACAAAATAATAGAAAAGGCAAATTCTGTATTATGTATCTGTATATAAATACAGATATATGCAAATGTCTCATCAAAAATTCAGTTGAAAAATGCTTCTGGTAGAATCTGTTAAACTGACAGTGCCACTGTAAATTAATTGTTACTCATTTACAAAGAGGATTTCAGAGAGCCCTTTTTAAAAACATTAAGACATAGTTGCTAAATAAAAGCATTATTGGATTCAAGTAGCTATTTAATGATACCAACATTTGATCTTTGTGTCCAGGGTCCCATGAGCCTATTTGGCATATTGACAAATATAATAAAACACTCCTTTTCTCTCCCCAGCCATTACAACACAAGCTAGCATGGAGTTTCGACGGAAAGGGTCACAAATGTCCACAGACACCATGGTTTCCAATCCTATGTTTGATGCAAGTGAATTTCCTGATAACTATGAAGCAGGAAGAGCTGAGGCTTGTGGGACACTGTGTAGGATTTTTTGTAGCAAGAAGACTGGAGAAGAGATTCTGCCAGCTTATTTATCCAGGTCTTAGAATTTTTCGTTTGTTTTTCCATTTATATAGTTTTAATAGTGAAACTGTTATAGCATGGCTTGGTAGACTGAATTGATAAGTAAATATTGGTCTGAAATACCTACAAATGTATCTGTAAATAATTGAAATTTGCTTGAATTTTTCCATTTTACCTGCCTCATCAGATTAGGTAAAGACCCCTAAGATTCTTTTTATTTTAGAAGTGTTACTTGTTCCATCTTATTTGAATTTTATTAGTTATGGAGAGGTTTGGAAGGACCATGATAATTTGTTGATAAATGTTTGGTACAGTATTAGGCACGTAGACAGTCCAGAAATAATCCTGCCTCCAAGGAGCTTATTTTCTGGAGTGAGCAAAGCAATGCACACAAGTAACAGTGATCCAATAGGAATAGGAAGTTGATGGGAGAGAGGCACAGATAAAGTGCTGTGGGTGCTCAGAAGAAGCAGCAGCACACACCTACCCCGGGGATTCAAAAAAGAGTTACGGAGGCCTGGATGATTATGCTAGACTTATAAAGGATGGGTAGTATTTAGACTATGTTAGGTAGTTGGGTGGTGTCATCTTATCCAAATCTCTGGCATCAACCATCTTTGCGATTGGCTCTACCATCCATTCAGTTGCTCAGGCCAAAAACTAGGAGTCATTTTAGACACCTCTCCCTTTGTCTCTCTAGTCAGTCAACCAACTCCTCCTGCCTTTGTGCCGCTGAACTCTCTGATTTCTCTTTCCACTCTGTCCCCACCATGACACTTTAGACTTTGTTACTTTTGCCTAAATTAACTAATAATAGCCTCCTATTTTTCTTGACTCTCTTTTGCCCGCCTCAGCTAATCATTCACACAGCTGCTGAAGCGAGGTTAATACCAGCAAGACCATTTAGGTATCTGCATACCTACTAGGTTCTCAGGAGGGAGGACTGACTCTGTCAGAGGGAACCAAGTGCAGAAGCATATAGATGTGAAAAAGAATGATATGTATAGGGAACTAGGCAGGGGTATCTTAACATAGACTCTTGACTTGAAGCAACAGAAGCCCTCTCAATCAGACTTAAGCAAAAGGAGAATGAGTTATGAGAAGTTAGTGATATTTAATGAATTCTAAGGTCAGGAAGCGCAGCAGTCCTCATGAAGAGCAGGAACCAGGGAATAGAAAGTGCTCGAGGATCAAAACAACTTCCCTCCTTTCTGTTTCTCTGTCTCGGTGGTCTCCCAGAACTGCTTCATTCTTTTCTTCCCTGCACATCATTTTCTTATACCGTAATGCTTCTAAATTCCCAATTCTCATGGCCTTGGTCTAGGTCAGGGGTGGGGAACCTGCAGTCTTGGGGCCACATGCAGCCTTTTGGATCCATGAGTGCAGCCTTTTGACCGAATCCAAATTTTATAGAACAAATCCTTTTAACAAAGGGATTTGTTCTGTGAAGTTTGGATTTGGTCGAGGGGCTGCACTTGGGGATCTCGAGGCCACATATGGCCTTGAGACCCCAAACCAGCAGGGCCAGTTAGCATCTCTGAATCCTAATTTCAGATTCCTGGGAAAGGATCTGATTAACCGTGTGTCTGTCTCTGGTCTAGTCAGCTACAGTTGTGAGGGTGGGTCACGTAAGGGTGCTGGAGCTCACCCCTTGTGATGGGGGCACATTTTTCAGGAGGGAGACCATGGACTGGGGACATATCCCAAATGGTCTTAGTAGCAGCGAGGGATGTAAACACACTTTTTTCCCTAGTAATTATGAAATGCTGCAAAATTTTACTGCTGTGGAATTCAATTCAGTAATTCCTCCTGTTTATTGATAAGTACCACAGCCATTTGTTTTGTTTTGTTCTGGTTTCCTCATTCGAGGGACCTATAACCTTGAGTTGCAAGGCTTCAGCTTTAAAAAGGTGTAATAGACATGAATCTTTTTTTTTCATTACGAAAGAGGATTTGGTTTTTAGTGTATGTGAATCAGAATTGTTTTAATTCTAGTAATACTCTCTAAAGGATAGAAATAGTGAATAGTGGAAATAGACTTTCATATGACTTTGTAGAAAGTAATAATTATGAAAACTTTTGATAAGCAGTTTGTTTAAAATTTTTTTCTTGCTTTCCTAGATTTTACATGCTTTTAATTCAAGGTTTGCAGATAAATGATTATGTGTGCCATCCTGTCTTGGCCAGCGTTATTCTAAACTCCCCTCCTTTGTTCTGCTGTGACTTGAAAGGGATTGATGTTGTGGTTCCTTACTTTATTTCAGCTCTTGAAACCATTTTGCCTGACAGGTAAGCTATCATTCTCTATTGTTATCAGTTGTCTGGTGTGGCCTGGTCTGTTTCTGTGCTTCCTCCCCACTTTCCTAATGTATCCTGTCCAGTTGTCGTCATAGTCCAAGGGGACTCAGGCCACATTAAATGAATGTAGACTGTCCACACCCACCTTATCCCTGAACTCCTTCAGTTCTGATTTGTCTGTGGGCTTGTTGAATCTTTTCTGGCCTGTTCTAGAGGGTTAAGAGCAACTCCAGCCCAGAGGTTCTTCCTTTGTCGAGTAGGCCTTCCGTTTTAAATAAAGAAATAGATCAATGAAATTCTAGTTTAATTCAGTTAACATTTTAACATAGAAATTCACACACACACATGCGCGATACTTAGATTGTGAGAAATTGGCATAATATATATTTGGCAATAGCTAAAAATGTCCTTTAGTTAAAAAATACTAATAGCTTTTTATTTTTTGGCAGAGAACTCTTAAAATTCAAAAGCTATGTAAATCCAACAGAATTGAGAAGATCTTCCATTAATATCCTACTTTCTTTGTTGCCCCTCCCTCATCATTTTGGCACAGTCAAATCAGAGGTAATATTTTATTAAGGTTTTTTATATTCTATATTCTGTTTTGTGTGTTAATTTAAGTCAAATTATATTTTAAAAATGGAATGGAAGCTCTTTTTTAAAAAACTCAAGTTATTTCAAGTGAATTAACGAAGTTGATTTGTTGTGTTATTTTTTTCTGTCAGTCTGCCAGCAAGCCTTGGCCTACCATTTCAAGTGTTACAGGCTAGTGATATCTGATAACATGTATTGAATGAGTTAGTGACAGATTTAGCACAGTGACGAATATTAGACTGAAAGCCTTTCTCATTAGACTGATCTGTTCGCCGTAGCTGATCCCACGTGGGCATAGTGAGCCACAAGCATTGATATTAAATATTATTTGTTTTTTCTGTAGGTGGTCCTGGAAGGAAAGTTTAGTAATGATGACAGCTCTTCTTATGATAAACCAATAACTTTTCTATCCCTGAAGTTGAGACTTGTGAATATACTAATAGGTGCCTTGCAAACGGAAACGGACCCAAACAACACCCAAATGATACTAGGTTTGTGTTCACACATTTTTTGTTAAGTGAAAACCCGTGTGCTGTTGACCACAGGCATGCTGAGAAGGCGGCGATCAGTGACAGGAGCCTAAGCCCAGTGCAGCTCTACTTACTGTTCTCAGTCAGAGGCAGAGTTTATTTGCTTTTTAATGTAAAGAAAAATTTAAAGGGTGAGACGAGGAAAGTAAAGTATTATAGTTGTCTTGGTTGGTCATTTTATTTGTGCTTTTTGCTTTTCTATCTCTCTCCCTCCTCCCTTCCTCCCTTCTTCTCTCCTTTTCTCCTCCCTTCTCTTCCTTCCTTCCTTCTCTTCTTTTCCCTTCCTTCCCTCCCTCCTTACTTCTGCCTCTTCTTCTTCCTCCTGCCTGTTACTTCCATGTGAAAAAAATTGGAGTTGAATATAATTCTGGAAGCCGCATTAGAACCCTGACAAGAAGAAGTTGTGGAACAGCTGTTGTTGTATGTCTCTCCTCTTTCCTTATTGTTTCTCATTTGTCTCCTAATCATATGGATTCTCTATCTTAAATGTCTCTTCCTCATCATGGCCACTGCTATATTTCAGGTCCTCATCACTTCTCAACTTGATTACCATAACCATCTCTTGCCATACTTCTGCCTTTTCATCAGAGCCAAGGGCATGGTCCTAGGTACAGGTACTCTGGGGGGGATACTAGAGAAGTGAGTGGCATGATTCTTACCCTTGAGCAAGTCTCATTGCAGAGATTGAGATACCCTCACAAAGTCGTTACATAATAGCAAAATGCAGTGCTGATTGCATATCACATTGACTATCTTCAGGGTTGAGAGAAAAAAAACCAAAAGGGCAACCAACTCCTGCTTTAACCTCTAGTCCATTGACCCTGCGACTTTTTCACTGTCTCTCACATCTCCTCTTCCCTCCTTACCTAGATTAAAATTCCCTTAACACTTTTTTTTGTTTTGTTTAAGCCAGTCAAATTTAGCAGTGGGGGGTTGTATACCAACTTTAGTGACACTAATGTTAATAAGTTCTGATAGTGTACTACCATTGGACCAGGCAACAATTGGATACCCCTTCCCCATCCCTGTACACTTTTAAACCCTTCTTTGCCTAAACTTAGCTGTCCGTTTATTCCACACTCACACCTAAATGGTTGAATAGTGCTGGAGAAAAAAAAAAAATCACACACCAGGGCTGATTAGACTTTTCAGATTTATGACTACAAATCTCAGGTGGCACTTAACTCACTGACAAGGTTTTACTACACTTCCCTAGTGAATTCACAGTTCTGTTTCTTTCACCTTGTTTCTCCAAAGCCTGCTTCTTTCTTCCACTTAGCTAATGATCTTGCTCCATATTTCATAGGAAAAAATACATTAGATGAGAATCATCTCATCTTCCCATCATTTCCACCAGCTATCTATAACCTACCCATAGTTCACTCTTTCTTCTTATTTCATTCAACAAATATTTGGGTTCTGTTATGTGTTGTGTGCCAGACACCATCCTAGACTCTGGGATACAGCAGGGAACAAAACAGACAAAAAATCATTCTGATGAGGGCAAGGAGCAACTGATAAATAAGGTAACTAGTGTGTTATATGGAGGAGAAAAAGCAAGGAAAGGAAACAGAGAAGGTGAGGGTGTGTGTGTGTGTGTGTGTGTGTGTGTGTGTGAGAGAGAGAGGTGGGGGCAGGGGGGTATGTGAGATGGGGCAGAGAGGAAGGGGCTGTTCAGTTTTAAATAGAGTGCCGGGGCAGATCTCACCAAGAAGGTGAAGGAGTGAGCCATGCAGATAACGGGAATGAAAGTATATCAGATGGAGGAAAGAGCAGTAGCAAAGAACCTGAAGCAGGAGTATGTTTGAGGAACAGAAGAGGCCAGTGTAGCCAGAATGAAGAGAGCAAAGGTGGAAGAGGAGGAGATAAAGACATAAGTAGCCTCTGCTTGTTTTAGTGTTGCTCTACTTGGACCCTAAATCCTGTCCTCCTTGCCTTCTCAAGGACATCACTCTTCTTTCCTATCTGATCAATTTCTCCCTCTTTGATAGATTATTTATAGTGGCATAAAAATATGCCTTAGTATTACCCTCCTAAAATATACCTTCCCTGGCTGCCTTACCTAACTACCGTGTTGTTTTCATTCTCTGCTACCCTTTAAATCAAGACTGTTTGAGTTTTATATACTCACTTTCACTACTTCTTGCCTACCATTCTCTTCAGCTCACTGTCATAGGGCTTTTGTCTCCACCATTCCACTGAATCAACTCATATCAAGGTTCCCAGTGATCTCCATCTTGCCAGAACTACTGTCATCTTGGCCTCTTAGCAGCACTTGATTTGGTTGACCACTATCTCCTTCTTCTAACACTTTTTTCTAGAGGCCCCCATCATACCATACTAACCTGATTTTAATTTTATCTCACCGATTCCTCCTTCTCTGTGTTTTTTTTTTGTTTTTTGTGAGAGAGAGTCTTGCTCTGTCACCCGGGCTAGAGTACAGTGGTGTCATCGTAGCTCACTGCAACCTCAAACTCCTGAGCTCAAGCAGTCCTCCTGCCTCAGCCTCCTGAGTAGCTGGGACTACAGGCATGTGCCACAGCACCTGTCTGATTTTTCTATTTTTAGTAGAGATGGGGTCTCGCTGTTGCTTAGGCTGGTCTCAAACTCCTGAGCTCAAACAATCCTCCTGCCTTCACCTCCCAGATTACAGGTGTGAGCCGCCGCGCCCTGCTTTTCTCTGTGTTCTTGCTAGCTTTTTCTCTCCTACCAGATATCGGTGTTAGAAGCCCCCAAGCTCTATTCTTGCCCCTCTTATCCTAGGTGGTCTCATCAGTTTCATGGCTTCACATTTCATATATATGCTGAATATTCTTTCATATATATGCCTAGACATCTCCTCTCAGTTCAGCTTGAGTTGCTAGCTAACTGCCTACTTGACATCTCCACTTGGGGTATCTAAAAGGCAACTCAAACCTAACTTGCCTGCCTCCCACATCCCTTCCCTAAATCTGCTCCCCACCAATCTGATTCCTCATCTTGGTAAGTGGCATCGTCCCGTATACCTAATTGATCAGGCAAGAACCTAAGACTCATCTGTCTTTGATTTTTCCCTTTCCCTTATCACCCCATGTCGAAATCTACCCCTAAGTTCTGTCAGCTTTACTTCCAAAAGATATCCTGATCAGCCTTACCATCTCACCCCCCTAGAGCATATCCTACCCACTTAGGCTAGAATGATTGTTCTGAAAAGGATAACTTAGATAATGCCAGTCTGTCTCCATGCCATTGACTTCCCATTACACTTAGAATAAAATCCACTTTCTTTATGCTAATCTATGGAGACCACATTCAAACATTATCTTATGTCTGACTACCTCTCAGGGGTTGTCTCTTTTTACTTTTCTTACTTCTCTGTGCTCCATTCCTACTGGCCTTTTTTTTTTCCTTCTCATTCGTTTTCACATCCAGCTCGTGATAACTTCTTCTGAGCCTTACTTACTATTCCTCCTGCTAGAATGTTCTTTCCTTGATTTTTGCTTAGCTTTTTTCATTATTTTGTCTTCTTAGAGAGACACTCCCTAACAGACTCCGCTTAAGGTGATCTCATTTCATCATTTTTTCACAGCATAGTACCTGAAATTATCTTGTTTGCTTAAATGTTTTACTCCCCGGCCTTTGATATATTTTAAAAGATATAAAGTATTTGTTGATTGACTAACAAACCTAAACCTAGTGTTATTACTAAGGACAGTCTTATCTTCCTTAAACATCATAAGAGAGACCCTGATGAACAACAAAGGGGCTCTTTTCTTCCCCCAATCCGATGTTCAAATTGGATAACCAGCAATTTGCTATATTAGGAAGCAAGGGGTTTTTAGTTGTTGCTTCTGTATCTCAGCACCACTGAAGTTCAATCCTGGATATGGAGATCACCACCCTTGACAGTGATAGATCTCAGAAAGCCAGGCTTTCCTCAGCCAACTAACTGGGGTCCACGCTGAACCAAGTGAATGCAAATACCATCCTAGCCCACAAAACCTGGGTGGCGCATAGAACTTCCTGCTTCTGGAGCAGTTGATCCCTGAGCATGCCTTGACCTTGGCAGTGGCTAGAGGCTTCCATTCTCCTCTTACTAGCAAGGCCAGGATTGGGCTGCTTCTTAGCACCTTAGATTCTTATTTGTTGAAAGGTGGGATCAGACATTCCATTTAAGTTCTTATAGCCCCAGAGGAGGTAGGGTACACGTCCTTCCAGCAGGAACACAATCCTTGAGATGGTTCTAAAAGGCCTTTAAAAACCTTGAGATGGTTCTAAAAGGCCTTTAAAAAACAGAGAGACTGATCCTAGAAAGGTAGGTCACAACTGCCTACGTTTCTCCAGAGTCACCTAATTAGTAGGTGACTGGAGTTGTCTGTAGCTGGATAAAAAGTTTTGTAGAGTCTCATAAATCTCAAATGCCATTAATTAAATTCTGGGCACGATTTTTCTAGATTCATAACTGTAGTTTTTGCTCTTACATTCTCAGTTATGAAGTATAGGTATGTTCTTGTTTAGGCTAGGTTTTTAGAGACCTTCTGAAGTTAGTGTGGTCAGTCTGACCAAGGGTTGGAGCCAAAGTCCACCAGTGGCATCAACACTATCTTGGATACATTTTGAATACAGAGGGAGGGGGAATGTTCCAAGTTATAGTGTTTTAGGTTATTCAAATAACATAATTTCACTTGAAATTAGATAGTTTCTGCAGCTGATAGAGTATTTAGTTTTGCTTTGCCCTTGTTCTGAAGACCTCTTAATACACAAGGAAGAGTCAGTTGTCACTCTTGCCGTAGGTTGGCAAAGCTCCTTCTATCTTCTCTTTATCCACAGTGGGCAAGAGCACGGGATGAGAAGCAATGCACTAGGCTCACCATCTTGTTTCTGTCCTAGCCTTTCCAGGGCTATGGATTCCTTGATAATAAATAAATGTTGCTTGCTTTCAGAATATGCAGACATTGGCAAGCCCCAGACTGTGTGGCTTTAGTCATTCTTAAAAAGCAATATGGTCAGAAAGGTATAGCTATGATTTTTATTTTTTTAATTTTATTTTATTTTTAAAAGACCAGAACTTAGTTTTAAAATATTCCATAATATTTTCCTTAGATTGTATTATCCCTGAAATTAAGATGCTTATATCTGGTCTTTTACACCAATTAAAAAATATCTGATAATGGACATGTTTTTATATAAAGCAAAGTTCGACCACCACATTTATTTTAGAAAAATGTGATTATAAAACTTTGAGGGCAGATCAGAATTAGGGAATTTTTAAAGAGTATCTTTTTTGACCAATCAATGCGTTTGTTAGTACAGTTGATCCTTGAACAATATGGGGGTTAGTGGCACTACATCCTGAACAGTAGAAAATGTGCATATAACTTTTGACTCCCCAAAAACTTCACTACTAATAGCCTACAGTTGACTGGAAGCCTTACAATAATATAAACAGATGATTAACATGTTTTGTATGTTCTGTATTATATATTATAATGTTACAATAAAGTAAGCTGGAGAAAAGAAAATGTTATTAAGAAAATCATAAGGAAGAGAAAATATATTTTTAATACTCTACTGTATTAATACTGTAAGTTTACATTTTCTGTTTATAAGGTGAATCATCTCTCTGGAATGGCAGGCAACTGCAGCTACAGATCTCAATCTATAGTACACACAAAGCAATTCAACTTTTTTTGTCATGTCATGAGTTTTCTCTGCTTCATGGGAACACTTCTAGCATCACTAGTGGCACTGCATATAGCTCCCATGATGTTAGTCAAGGTTTATGGTATTGCACTAAACAATTGAAAAATAGACAAGAACTGCAAGAGATCGCTTTTAACTGTGATACGCAATTTGCTGGTGAGACAAACTGCTTAACGTGGAGATGATTAGCCATCAAATGGCGTTTTAAGTGGATACTTGCAACATTTGAGCTCACTGAAATAGCAACAGGAGGTGGCTCTGAAATTATTATAGTAGTACAGTATGTACTACAGCTAATTTTATGCAGTTATGACTTAATACTTCATCTTTACCATTTGTTTACATTTCTCTTGCCTGAATGGCACCATGTCTGGTCTGTGTGTGCATAAGTTTTGATAAATTCTAACTTTTTATAATAGATCTGTGTATATTCTGTGGTTGTAAATGATAAAATAAACTAGTACCTACATATTTTATGCATTCATGACATAACTTTCTCAATTTTTTTGATTTTTCTGTGTTACTCAGTTTGTCTCCACGTTTTTTCAAATTGTCACAAATCTTCAAAAAATTTTCTAATGGTTTATTGAAAAACAATCTGTGTATGCGCAGTTCAAACTTATGTTATTTGAAAGTCAACTATAATTTTATGGGAATTTCAGAAGTGCTCAGCCAAAAATATCATATTCCCATCTCTATTAATTGTATAAGATATTTTAGCCATTTTAGTGTTCTTGTATATTTTTTTTTAAGTGCCTTTTTTGGTTTGCTGTTGCAGGGGCAATGTTAAATATTGTTCAAGATTCAGCACTTTTAGAAGCCATTGGTTGCCAAATGGAGATGGTAAGAAGCATACCACATGTAATCTGTCAGATAACATCAATTTTGGATTTTATATAAATTATATACCAAAATGTCTGTCTTTGTGATTTTTTTTAAAATCCTTTTGTTTGTAAATCCAGCTCATTGACTTGGACAGATTGTATTTTAAAATAGCATATATTTTGAGGTTTCTTCCCTTTCAGCGCCTCACCAGCTGTACATCAGGTCCCTGAGAGATTCTGTGTGAGAGAAACTCCAGCTCAGTCTAGTCTTTATTCCTACTTAAAACTCTTACATGTTTTGCTCTGCTGGTGAACTAGCTTGAATAATGTAGGAAAAGCCCCAGCCAGCACGCATGTAGTTTATTTTTTTCCATCCCATCATCTCTTTCTAGCCCCTCTAGACCAAAGTTTGCAGGTCTCCCAAAGCACCAATGCTTCCAAATTTAAAAAGCTTGCCAGAGACTTCAGTGCTCCCTGTTTTTGTCTTCAAAATACATGATCCCTATACTTGGAGTAGAGGCTGGAATGTGGGGGAATTAATAGGGGATATTGGGGTGAGCTGGGTGGATGTAATGTGGGTGATCAAATTATTATTAAGGAAATTAATTTCGTGTCTCAGTAGTTGGTTAGTAATAATTTACTGATCTGAATATAATAAATTGTGTTTCCTTGGTAAAAAAAAAATAAGAGACGTCTTTAACAGATAGGTTTATTAGCCTCTATACATAATAGGAGTTAATACTAACCTTAGTATTTTATTGTTTGTGTTTTATGATATAATTACATTTGAAAGTTGCTGTTGTTTATTTGTGTTGTCTTGTTTTATTATTATTTTTTGTAGAGACAGGGTCTCACTATGTTGCCCAGGCTGGTCTTGAACTCCTGGCCTGAAGCAGTCCTCCCACCCTGGCTTCCCAAAGTGCCAGGATTACAGGCATGAGCCACCACACCCAGCCTATTTGTGGTTTTTAAGATTATATCCCTGTTCTGAAGTTTTGCTTGGGAGGCACTAGGGTATTTTCTCTAAGGACCCAAAGTCGTTAGCTACTGAAGTCTAGTGAAGATGAAAAAGGTCCTGGGCTGGCCCTTTGTAAACAGTGGCAAATAAGACCCCAGTATGGGCGTCTATAGTCTTGAGACCCTTCACATCCTCCAGTAGATGGTGTCTGTGCAGAAATACCACAGCAGTTTTAATCCTTTGTCAGTTTTTATCTGTGTATCAGTTTGTGCGATTTAGTTGGCATAATCCATTTTATCAGCATAATTTTTGATGACTGACTTCATTTGTACTTGTAAACTATGCTCAAATATTTGACGCATTTTCACTTGACTAGGGTGGTGGAGAAAATAACCTGAAGAGTCATAGTCGCACTAATAGTGGTATTAGTTCAGGAAGTGGTGGAAGCACAGAGCCCACAACTCCCGACAGTGAAAGACCTGCTCAAGCTCTCCTACGGGATTATGGTAAGCCATGTTTGTTGTTCTTGAAATTCACTGTTGCATAGAATAACTTTAATGTCCCGATTTATAAAACAAACAAAAATGAAAATTTTTATCTTCATGATGGTTTATGTACTTAAGTATAATAGGATATTTAAAAAGCTAAGAAAAAGAAAACAAATTTTTAAAATTTAGCTATATAGCTTTTAGTAGTTAGATTTTAGGTAGTTTATTGGATTTTACAAATGGTGGTAATGGTGGTTAGGAGGCATTTCTGGATTTGTACCACGTGCTGGTGATAACAAAGTCAAATAAGATGTGACTCTGCCTCAGAGCTCACAGTCCAAAGGCAGAGATGTACAGTAAGTCAATTATTGTACTGTGGTAAGGGGGGTGATAGGGTATACATTAGGTGGCAACCCAGAGGAGAGTCTGTCTTCATGTTAAAACCCGTGTACCCTACCATATCTTGTTAGATTCTTCAGTCACAAATTTTAAGCAAGAGTAAGGAAACATTTTTATTTTCTGCCCTGCCAAATAAAACATTTGTCAATGAAGCATCCTATTCAATGATGCACTCTACCTTGGGCAGTTATTTTATGAGTTCCGTGAGTTTGTGGGTACCTTTATGTTTTTATACATAAATACTAACAGTGTGTTGAATCTGCGAGTAATTTGTCCAACTAGACTGGAATGATATCTAGATCCTTAGATGTGAGCTTCATTTTTTAATCACCTGGAGAGTTCATGAGCCATGTTCATGAGGTTCATGAATTCATGAGGCATGTTTTTATGGTTTCAGTTTGTAGTAAGTATCCTTGAGCATGTCAGATACATAAGTCTATGTGGATATTTGACTCAATTTAAATACTATACTTGTAAAGTTATTTAAATTGTTATCTTCATTGTGTATATAGATTTAGGTGTACTAAAGATTGAAAATTTGTTTATTTTTCATGCTTTCTAAAACTTTTAAGCTAAAGAAATTTTCATATTACTGCATGTGTTCTAATATAAATGTTTGAAGTGATTATTGTTTGTTTCAGCACTTTGAACTGGTGTTAGTGAGCTCTGCTTGTAATGTCGTAAAATATTTTTTTACTAAGAAATCCAGATTTGTTTTAGTGTTGCATGAATGTCTCTCTTTAATGATCATTCCTTTTTCTGTTGTCACTGCCCTCTTTCTGATAGGATCGACAGGTATAATGTCCCTAAAGCTTCCTTTATAAATTCAGTTTAATTTGTCCTAATTTAATTTGTCCTAATTTACTATTAGCTAAATAGTAATTGCTTTAAATATAGAATTAGAGGCCAAATAAAAACTTGGTGGCTTGGTTATTTAATTTTTTTTAGAAGTAAAAACTAGTCTTAGAGAGTTAAATATTAAAATGTGTTTGAAAAGGCATTGCATGTGATTTTTGATGGTTTAAACCCTGCAAGTAATTTTGACAGATGCTTTAAGGTAATTTCCAGCATCTGAGGGGCTGTAAAATTTGAATTCTTTCCTCTATAAAATTCCAAAAAAAGTAACTGATAGCCTTTTCATCATTTTTTTGAAAACGTAGCTCTCTGTGAGTTGTAAATTTAGAAATGTGAAGATTTACGCTGTTATAAAAATGATACTCAAACTGCCAAATCCCATGGTTTTCTGGGTGAAAGTATACGAACCAGGACCTAGAAGCTGCTCTGGTCCGGTGTGTGTGCCCTGTGCGCTGTTCAGTCAGGCTTGGCACTCAGGCCAGTGGGGCGGGGAGCGTAGCACTGTGTGGGTGCCCGTCATGTTCACTGTGGCTGCTGTGGTCTGTGCCTAGTGGAATGCTGTGCTTCTTGTTACTAATGCTTAGTTGTTTTCCCTCCCTGTGGGATGTGGCATTGGGGTTATATCCTAGCTCTTAATACAGATTCGGCTGCTGGGCTCCTGATTCGCAGCATTCATCTCGTCACCCAAAGACTCAACTCCCAGTGGCGGCAAGACATGAGCATATCACTGGCAGCTCTAGAACTCCTCTCTGGCCTGGCAAAGGTGAGGAGGACATCTTTGTATTTTAACCTGGGAGCCTTCGGGCATGGCTCTTTTTTCTGTATCTCTTGACCTTTTGAGGTGGGTATCGCAATGTTGTTCGTACTCAAACATAGTTTATATCGAGAGTGTGCAAAATTGAGCATCCAGGTAAAAACTTATAGAAGGAAACTTTCCTTTTTTCTAAATAGGTTCAAAAGAGTATGAATAAAAAAAGAGTATGAATGATATTTTTGCTGTTAAATTACAGAAAACATTTCAATACTTGCCATTTATTTATTCACATGTAATACTAGAACACATACTGATTTTGTAAAGAGTGATTTTCCCTAAGGTATGCCATTTGTGATTATCTGTGATTCTCCCATCTTCCATTATCAGAGATAAGTGAAAATGTCTATACTTTTCAAATTTCTTCACAGATATTATCTCCGTTTTGTGGAACCTTGGAACTGAGTGGTCATTTGTTCTTCTCTAAGTGTATTCTTTTTTTTGAAATGAAATTCATAATAACATAAAATTAACCATTTTAAAGCAAACAGTTCAGTGGCTATTGGTATATTTGTAATGTTGTATAACCACAACCTCTAGTTCCAAAACATTTTCATCACTCCAAAAGGAAATCCTTTATCCATTAAGTAGTTTTACTTCAGATTCCCCTGCCCTCCAGTCCCTGACAGCCACCAGTCTTCATTTTATCTCCGGATCTACCTATTTGGATGTTTCATATAAATGGAATCATACAATATGTGATCTTTTTGTGGAATCATGCAATATATGACCTTTCGTGTCTGGCTTTTTTCACTTAACATAATGTTTTTGAGTTTCATTTATGTTGTAGAATATGTCAGAATTTTCCTTCCTTTTATGGTTGAATAATATTTCATTGTGTGAATATGTACCACAGTTTGTTTATCCATTCATCAGTTGATGGACATTTGGGTTGTTTCCATCTCTAGGCTGTTGTCATTAGTGCTGCTGTGAACATGCATGTGCATGCATTTGTTTGAATACCAGTTTTCAGTTCGTTTGGGTATATACCTAGCAGTGGAATTACCGGGTCATATGGTAATTCTATGATTAACTTTTTAAGGAACTGCCAAACCGTTTCTCATAGCGACTGAATTGTTTTACATTTCTGCCGGCAATATATGGGAGTTCCACTTTCTCTGCTTCCTCACTAACATCCAGGTGTTTTTTTGTCAGTAAAATGGGCATGATTGTCTTGTGTATAACACTTGGTGCAGTCAGGATCAAATGAGATGAAATATATAAAACACTTTGTGTGTGTGATACACACACATCAGATGGTACTGTCTGGGATGATATAGTTTCAGCCCCCATTTTTCAGTCGTGAGAAAGGCTAGGTCTTACTTGTGTCATAAGAAACAAAATAGCCAAGAAAACCTAAGACGTTCTTACCACCACTTGGAGCTTACCTCAAAGATCCTTAGGCATAATAATTTTGTGAGAGGCAGTTACTGAATACAGAAAGTAAAAACAGCCATTTGTGAGACATACAGGACCACAGTGTCTTTAAGAGCAAAATACGGTTTCTTGTGACCTTTAGTACACTCAGTATTAAGAAATTAGCCCTAGATGGAGCACTGCTCTGCACCTGCTTAACAGATCATAAAGGGCTAACATTACCTGATTTCTTGACTTACTATAAAGCTACAGCAATCAAAATAGTCTGGTATTGGCATATGGTTGGACGAATAGATCAGTGGAATAGAATAGAGAATTCAGAAGTAGATCCACACATACCCAGTCATCTGATTTTTGACAAAGGTGCAAAGGTAATTCAACGAAGAGAGGATAGTCTTTTTCAACCAGTGGTGATGAAACAATTGGATATTCATATACCCAAAAAAAAACCAACACAAACTTTGATTCACACCTCGCAGTATGAATAAAAATTAGCTCAAAATGGATTGTAGACCTAAAGATAAAGCCTAAACTTTAAAACTTCTAGAATAAAAGAGGAGAAAAATTTTGTGACCTTAGGTTATACAAAGATTTCTTAGATATTACACTATAGAAGAATAAACGAATAAATTGGGCTTCATGAGAATTAAAAACTACCGTTCTTCAAAAAATACTGTTAAAAGAACGAAATGACAAGTCACAGACTGGGAAAAAAAGCTTTCCAAAGGATATATCTGATGAAGGACTTGTATCCAGATTACATAAAGAACTCTTAAAACTAAATAATAACTTTTCTTTTTGGTGGTGTGTGGCAGCGATATGGTGGTGCAGATTTCCAAGAAAAGGAAGTTTGTTGTTAATGGCATCTTCAAAGCTGAACTGAGCCAAGGTCCTCACTCAGAAGCTTGCTGAAGTTGGGCACTCTAGAGTTAAGGACAGAAATCATTACCTTAGCCTCCAGGATGCAGAATGTTCTTGGTGAGAAGATCCAGCAGATGTGCATTGACCCAATGTAGTTCAGAAGAGGATTGGCTTCCCTGAGGGCAAGTAGTGCTTTATGCAGAAAAGGTGGCCAAAAGAGGCCTATATGCTATTACCCAGACAGAGCCTCTGCATTATAAACTCCTAGGAGGGTTTGCTGTGTGGAGAGTCTCCTATAGTGTGCTCTGTAGTTCTTTGTGGAGAGTGGGGCAAGGGTTACAAGGTCATCATGTCAGGAAAACTCTAAGGATACAGAACTGAATCCGTGGACTTTGTGGATGATCTGATGATCCACAGTGGGGACCCTCTTAACTACAATGTTGATACTGCCATCTACCATGTGCTGCTCATCAAAATGGAGACCATGCTATCATGGGACTAAGTGGTGAGATTGGCCTTAAGAAGCCCCTGCCTGACCTTGTGAGCGTTGTGGACCTTAAAGATGAGACACTATCTACCACCCCTACCTTTTTGAGACAGAAGGTTGGGAAGCCAGAGCCACCTGCCGTGCTCTGTCCAGTTTCTACTGCATAACAGGGTCTCCCTGACAGCTGGATCTGGAGTCTGGATGTTGCTTCATAAAGACCTTTAATAAAATCTTTTAAAAAGACAACAACAAAAACTCTTTGATAATAAACAACCCAATCAAAGAGCAGCAAAAGATTTGAATAGACACTTTACCAAAAAAGACAGATGGCAAATAAGCACATCAAAAGATGCTCAATATCATTAGTTATTAGAGAAATGTAATTAAAGCCACATGAGTTACCACTGCATACTTGTTAGAATGGATAAAATATAAAAGACTGACCATATCAAATGTTGGTGAGGGTGTGGAGGAACTGTTGATGGGAATGTTAAATGGAACAGCCGTCTTGGAAGACAGCGTGGCGGTTAAAAAGCTAAACATATACCTATCATATGACCCAATCATTCCACTCCCAGGAGATCAGAGAACATATATCCATACAAAGTCTTATATACGAATGTTCTTAGCAGCTTTATTTGTAATGTCCAGAAGCTGGAAACAACCCAATGTCCATCAGCAGGTAACTGGGTAAACAAATTGTGGTATATTCATGCAATGGAATACAATACACTTGGCAATAAAAAGAAATGAACAATTCATGCACACAAAAATGTAGATAAATCTGAAAATAATTATGCTGAGTGAAAGAAGCCAGACTCTCCCCCAAGAGAGAAGGACATATTGTATGATTTTATTTGTATAAACTCTAGAAAATGCAAACTAATCTATGGCGATAACAGATCAGCAATTGCTGAAGGAGGAGGGCAAAGAAGAGTGGGAGGAAGGATTACAAAGGTGCACGAGGAGATTTTAGGGGTGATGGATACGTTCACTACCTTGATTCTGGTGATAGTTCACAGGTATGTACTTATGTCAGAATTGACCATTTGCACACTTTAGATACGTGTAGTTTACTGTATGGTAATTATAACTCTGAGCAGCTGCACAGAACTTTGTGCAGAGCATAGAACATCACTGTGAGGTTGGGTTATGAACCTTAAAAATGTGCACATGGTCCACTGCCAGCTAGCCTTTGAATTTCTGGCAGTGATGAGTAGGTGTGCCCAAGGGGTTTGAGTTTTAGGACATGAAAAACTGTGCTGAAACAAAATACTATTAATATTATATTTTAGGATTTGAAAAATGGACTATCTTCATGGAGTATTAGATGATAGTATATCTGAAATATTCTGTTCCTGTATATAAAAAAGCAAGACTTCCTGTGGTGTATCACATTCTCGAATAGGTCAAACCTTAGTCCAGATGCTTTAAAATTAGTACAGTGGTTCCTAGCTGACTCTTTTTGTTCCCCAAATGAATATGCTCAGGTAAAGGTGATGGTTGACTCAGGAGACCGGAAGCGAGCCATCAGTTCTGTGTGCAGCTACATTGTGTACCAGTGCAGTCGGCCAGCTCCACTTCACTCCCGGGATCTGCACTCCATGATAGTGGCAGCCTTTCAGTGTCTCTGTGTCTGGCTGACAGAGCACCCTGATATGCTAGATGAAAAGGTCGGTTTATTTAATGTTAAACCATTAAGTAGAAACAAAAATGTATGTTGGGAAAATGCCTTTTAAAAGAGATTGTCTAAATTTAAATATAGTATTGCACACTTTAAACTTGTTAGGTTTCAGTAAAATACTTGTCCTTTGAGTACAACTTGAAAACTGTCATCATGCTTATATTTGGTTACAAATGAACTGATATAGAAGTTCTTTAGAAAGATGGGACCTCAGCTAATTTATCTGAACTATCAAGACTGTTCTTTCTTAAGAGGATGGTAGCCTTGAGATATCTAGTAGGCGCTTTGGTCATCCATCACTAAACCAAGGACAGTTGATTGCCAGGCTGCAAACCTAGAGCATAGTTTGTTCGTAAAGGTTGTTTCTATCTATAAATGTTATTGCACACTCATTTCTCCACTTTCAAGTGGGCACAGATGTCTAGTCTGCTTTCCCTGTCATTATTCCATGTAATACCTTCCTTACAGGGAGGCAGGTATTATAAAGAATTCACAGTATAAGTTAGAGATATCAGGGTCATTGGATATTTATAGAGGCCTTTATGTAATTTTAAATATAGTATTCTTGGTTAAATCTTAGTCATTTTCATTGTGGCTTCTAAAGTTATGATACCAGAAATTGCTTAAAAATGTCAATCACTGATGAGCTTTCTTTGGCTAATCTAATATGTCTTAAATTATCCCAAGTTTAACTGAATCACTGTTTCATCTCTTTCACTTGTGCTTTCATGATTTACAGTCCATGGTAATTTTACAAGAATTGTGACTGATAAAATCGAATTGAATTTATCTTATTTAACTCTCTGAATACTCAAATTTAGTTCTTTAAAGAGAAATTGGAGAGGGTATAAAATTTATTATATTACAATGAAAGTAATATATGCCTATTAAACAAAGTTGGGAAGAAACTGGAGTCCTTCCACCAAGACACAACCATTGTTAGCGTTTTGATGGATTTTCTCATCTGTTCATAAGAAAATTATGTTAAAAAAAAATTGATCTGCTTTTCCTTCTTCTAGGACTGCCTTAAGGAAGTACTGGAGATTGTGGAACTGGGTATCTCAGGAAGTAAGTCCAAGAACAGTGAGCAAGAGGTCAAGTACAAAGGAGACAAGGAGCCAAACCCTGCATCTATGAGGGTAAAGGATGCTGCTGAAGCCACCCTAACATGGTATGAAAGTGACTGCACAGGGATTGTGCCTAGAAATTAGATGGGGTTAGCAGTGACCCATGTTGTTTCATCTCTTCACTGATTGTTTAGCATCAAGTGACTCAGCCCCTTTAGGATACTTTTCTCCAGAAATGAAAAGAAAAAAAAATTTTTTTAACCTGGTTTTTAGACCAAAAGAAACCAGGAACTTGGGGCTGAGAGTTTTGAGTCCTCGTTTTCCATTTTTTCTGTTTTCTTTTTTTTCTTTCCTTATGTAAAAACCCCATTCTTAGCCATGAGACCTTGTTTTTCTGTACTGGTTGACGGCAGTTCAAGTCATATCATGTTAGAGCTGGGAGGGATCTTGGAGAGACTTACTCCACCCCCTTACTTTGATAGCCAAGTCCAGAGGCAGGGTCTGTCTGTCTGTGGTCACACTATTAGGTCTGCTTCCCAGCTCAGTGGTCTGTATTATTTACTACACCATTTTTATCATATAATATGGGTTCATTCAGCCAAGATTTATGAACTCTCTCTGAAGAACTGGTCACAGGATCATAAAGATAAATCAGATTCAGTTATGACCACCTCTGCATCATCTTGTCCAGTAGGCAAGATATGAACACAAATAGCTATAATACTAGATGGAAATTAAGTCCTCCAAGAGAAGATGTACAAATAAAATGCTTGAGAGTTGGAAGGAGGAAATGAGTACTTCCCGATAAGGGGAAATCATAGTAACATTCCTAGGGAAAATGACAGTGGGCCTGACTCTGAGGGGATGGGCAAAGTTTGAGCTATAAGACAGCGTGGTTAAGAAGGCACCAAGCCTGCCATTTCAAGCATTTTGGTGGTAAAGTGGTAGAGACAGAGAGGCTGGTACCTTAAAAGAGTAGCAGAGAAAGTTGAGAGAGTTTGTGTTTGACTGGCAAGTGAGGAGAGTGGAAAGAGTTAAAGAAGGCAGTTGAGTCACAGTTGTGGACTGAAGGGAACAGTGAAGTGGAGAAGGTTAGGTGGAAGCATAGTACAGATGGAAAGGTGGGGCTAATGAAAGGATAAGCGTGGATGAAGAGACAGAAAATTTTTATAAAATCAGGAAGGGGGAGTGTCAAGTCACTCTGGGTTGGCTTATCTTGGTCTTAGTAAAGTGGTGGCAGACAAGATCACTTGAAGATTTACGTGTAAGTCAGCCCTTACCAAGATCTCAGCATCTTCTGTGAGTGCAGTGGCCTGTGCGTACTTGGGGTATGCACAGTGAAGTTGGATTTGTTTCTCTTCCTTGTGGGCTTGGGTCATTCAGTAAATTTTTAGAAGAGTGTTTCCTGTAGTTTAGCCCTGCTCACTATGCTGTGGACTTTCAGTGACTTTGTGGAGGTTTGGTTAATAGCTAGACAATCAGAAAAGTGTGAGTACAGTTGCTGAAGCATGTGCCTATGCTGATTTTATTATTAAAAGTAATAAAAGTTCAGAGAGAAGACCATTTGTGGGCTGGGGTAGCCTTAAAAGTGTCATAAAACTAAAACTTGATGTATGCCTTGAAGAGGTGAGTAGGATATGGAGCGAAAGGGGAAGGACATTTCTCACTGGGAACTCTTCATTATACAACAATAAGTTTGCTTCATCCTAGCCTGGATGGGGTGTTCCTATGAGAGTATAACTGGCAGTGAGGATTGGACATATGCTTGGGAGGAGTAGAGAGCCCCAGGATGCTTCTCCCTAACCTAGCCAGTAGTTATCTAGATGGCTCTTCTGTTTCTCTTCAGCTGTCTTGTCTTTGCTGGCAACTCTACAAATGGTATCTCAGTCTTGATGGGTGTCCTGAAGAGTACTGTTGTCATGAAACACTTGGCCAACTACATTTCTCTGTTCTCTCACAATTGTTAGTATCATTGCCGTTTGCCAGTTATGCAAAGACAAACCTTTGGTTGTCTCTCTGATTTATCTTTCTGTCATTCCCCATATCAAGCCAGTGACTAAGTCTAGTAGACTTTATTTTTGTAAAATATTTCCTCCATTCTCTGCAACCTCAGATAGCAAACTAGTCCCAGCCCTCCTCACTCCTTGCCTGATTTCCCTGTTTTCAGTCTCAACCCTTCCTGGTCATCTTGCATTCTATTGCTAAACTCATCATCCTTAAGCACAATTTTTTTTTTTTTGAGACAGGGTCTCACTCTGTCACCCAGGCTGGAGTATAATGGTGTCATCATAACTCACTGCAACCACAAACCTCCTGGGCTCAAGTGATCCTCCTGCCTCAGCCTCCCGAGTAGCTGGGACTGCAGACATGTACCACCATACCTGGTTAATTTTTAAATTTTTTGTAAAGATGAGGTCTCACTGTGTTGCTCAGGCTGGTCTTGAACTCATGGGCTCAAGCAATCCTCCTGCCTCAGCCTCCTGAATAGCTAGGACTACAGGCACACGCCACCATGCCCAGCTTTTTTTTTTTTTTTTTTTTTTTTTGGTCTTTTTTTCTTGTAGATACAGGATCTTACTATGTTTCCCAGGCTGGTCTTGAACTCCTACCCTCAAGCAGTCTCTCAAAGGGCTGGGATTACAGGCGTGAGTCTTTAAGCACAATTTTGATCCTGTTGCTTGAGTGAGTAAAAACCTTGAGTAGATCTCTATTTCTTGCCATGCTGTCTGAACTCCTTGGTCAAACTCATTCCTTCTGCCATAGTTGGGCAGAAGGAACTTGTGGCTGTAAACTGGCCATGCTCACACCTGCTTGTATTCATTCCCTGGGTTTTAGGGCCTCCCTTTTCTCCCCTCAGCCACATCCTTCACTGTTCAGTGCTCAAATCAAATCTAGCTACCTCCATGGGACCTTCTTTGGTTATTCTGGTTCTGCAGGATGACTCTTTTCTGCACCTCTATGCTCATTCTGTCTGACCCTACCACACAGCATGGAATTCTATACTGTCATGATTGTACCTGGTTATATTTGATCCATGCCAGCATTATCTCCCCAATCTGGGTAGAGGTCACGTTTATATCTTTCTTTGACAACCCTCATGATGCTGAGTACATAGTAGACAATAATGGAGTATGGATTAGCTGGTTGGTTTTTTTCCCCTTGGCATACTAATACCAATTCAGAATTAGGACTCTCTGAAGTCATTTCAGCAGCCCCTTTGCTTAAGACATTTATCAAGTTATTTATCTTCTAATTTTCACAGTTCTAATTTCAGTTTTTAAAAACTGGTTATGTTTTACATTGAACTAAACTCTGTCCCACTTTAACGTCTACCTATTGGTTCTAAGTCAGGTTTTGTTAGTGAAATCTTTTTTGTCTTGGCAGTAGTGGTAACTGAAGGCAATGCTCATGTTCTCTCTATTTCTCCTGGTATCTTGAGATATTTTTTATATTACAGAGATTCAAGTACCTTTATCATTCTGGTTATTCTCAACTGTTGTAGATTTGACTATGTACCTCTTACAGGTGGTTTACTGAGTACTATATTCTAGATGTGGTTTGATGTTCTTTAAATCCTGTAGATTATTATATTTTCATTGAACTGTACTCAGAGACTGCATTGGGTTTTTGAGAACCTGGTGATTTGCATTAAGTCAACTAAAATCCTTTAGTCTTTTTCACATGTTTACTTTTCATCTTTCTCCTCCTGTACTTACTTGTTTGGGGGTGTTTGGATATAATGCACAGAACTTTACATTTAAACCTGAAATTTCTTCATGTAAGATTTACCTCCTTATTTTTAGTCTTTTAAGATTCTTTTAGATCTCAACTCTTACTCTGATATATCTGCAGCTCAACAGCAGATTTTTTTTTTTTTTTGGAGACAGGGTCTCGCTCTGTTGCCCCGGCCAGAGTGTAGTGGCATCATCTTAGCTCACTGGAACCTCAAACTCCTAGGCTCAAACAGTCCTCCTGCCTCAGCCTCCCGAGTAGCTGGGACTGCAGGCATGTACCACCATACCTGGTTAATTTTTAAATTTTTTTGTAGAGATGGGGTCTCACTATGTTGATCAGGCTGGTCTTGAACTCATGGGCTCAAGCAATCCTCCTGCCTCAGCCTCCCAAAGTGCTAGGATTAGTGATGTGAGCCAGCACGCCTGGCCTGACAACTGCAGATTTAAGGAGCCTGTGATTTGTGTTTTAATCAAAGATGTTGATTAAAATATTAAACAGATAGACTTACAAAGCATATCACCAGAGGATTTCCTTCAGGTTCACAGGAATTTTTAAATCTTATCTACAAGATTATCATGATACACTGTCAAATACTTGTATGTCTTAATTTCAGAGATACTTATCTGCCTTTCTAATCCAGTCAATATCCAGAAGAGAAAATGTGGTTAGGCTGGTATGATTTGATCTTAGCGACCTATTCCCTTACTCACAACCTATTTGATAATATCTTAGAATCTTGCATGGAACACGACAGTCTCACTTGGCCCATATGCTTTATGATGTCTGTCTCTGTCCCATTTTAGAAAACCAAGGCCACATTTTCTCATGACTGATTTTCCTGTGTTTCCCACAAATCATTAGAGGCCTGAACTTAACATCAGGTTTTCTTGGTCCTTGAAATTCTTAGTCCTCCTTGTAAGAGGAGAGAAAATGGAAGGAGCAGTGTTGCCTTCCATTATCAGAGATCTTTGGATTTAAGCCTTAGAGTAAAAGAGTAGAGGAGAGGCCATTCAAGCTGAGGATTGAGATGGAAAAAGGGTTGTTGTGGAATATTGGTTTTTCAAATGAGATGTACCTGAAGGGTCAGATGATATTAGAACCACAGATAAAATCTTTGTTTTAATTACAAGATACTTTCTCTTTGTGCTTTAGTTTCTTCATTCTAAAATGGTAAATAAAATGGTACCTATCTCATAGAATTGTTATGAAACTATTTGAAATAATGTGTATAATGTGCTTAAAATAGTGCGTGGCACATAGTAAGTGCTATGTAAATTATTGTTAATTGAATGTATGCAGAAATCTATATGGATATAAATGTTTTGAAAGTTTAGGCTTGATCAGCTGAATTCCAGTTAGCATTTCTCTTTATATATTTTTGTTAAATAATTACATCAGTTCTGTGAGATGTAACTATTCGTGCCTCAAGTTCCTTATCTATAAAATGAGTGTGATATCAACTCATCATCACACAGTGAGAAGGCAGCAGGCCCTGGTTTCTGGTTTCTTTATAATCACCTATCTCTTCGCAGCCTGAGTTTCCTCATCTGAAAAATGAAGGGGTTTGGCTGATCCTTTTCTAGGTCTAGAATGCTTTAGCTAGAATAATGCTGAAGCCTGGAGTCTGCCAGCAGATTTTTGAATATATCTTTAGGACTTCAGGATTGGAAGTGGTGTTAGTCATGTTCCCTGGGTAGCAAACTCTGAGAGAAATTTGCTTGCAAGAAGTTTATTGGAAAGTGCTGTCAGGATCAATCCCTATGGGGAAATGCAGGAAACAGAATTGGGTAGAGGGAGACACTAAACTGTGATGCAGTTGCAACAAAGCGCTCTGGAGCTGGCTTGACTCTCTGGAGTTCTTTTAGGCTGGGGAACAGGCTGGGACGTTATATCCCTGTGTCAACCGAACTTCATTGCATAGGGTCTGTCCCAGAAGGAAGCTGTGCTCTTGCGTGAGGTGATTCTCATTGACCATGGGCAAGTCTTGGAGAGGGACTCAGCTGAAAGCTGTGGCCACCATCGCTTTGCATCAAGGGGAATGGGCCTTTCAGTCCTGGAGGGGAGAATCTGGACAGCACACCATGGCATTTACCATGGGAAAAAAGTCTGGCATGTCAAGAAGAAGCATGGCTGTCTATTAAAATTCAGAACAGCAGAAGGACACATTAATGTGTGAGGTAAACTGAAGATTTTGCTTTGGCAATTAACTGTTATCTTTTCCATTCTCCATAGTATTATGCAGTTGCTTGGTGCATTTCCTTCACCCAGTGGCCCTGCCTCTCCTTGTAGTCTGGTGAATGAGACCACTTTGATTAAATACTCCAGGCTGCCAACTATAAACAAGCATAGTTTCCGGTACTTTGTCTTGGATAACAGTGTCATCCTGGCAATGCTGGAGCAACCTCTTGGAAATGAACAGAGTAAGTTTTAGCACTTTGAGCCTTCTGTACTGCTAAATCAGTATGTTCATCAGTACCATGAAGCTATTTCCAGATCAGTGAAGAAGAGACTGCAGATGCTAAGTAATTGTGCATCTGTCAGAAAGTCTTCTAGCTGTGAGACAATAGCACCTGAAAAAATAGGGGGTCAGAAAATAGAATAGAATATACATATTAAATAGAATCTTTAAAGTCTCTTTATATGTATCTGAAATGGTTCTCAGGTTTTTTTAATTAATTTTGTTTTTTTGAGGCAAGATCTTGCTCTGTTGCCCAGGCTAGAATGCAGTGGCATCACCATAGCTCACTGCAGCCTTGAATGCCTGGGCTCAAGCGATCCTCTTGCCTCAGCCTACCAAGTGGCTGGGGCTACAGGTGCATACCACTACGCCGGCTAATTTTTCTGTTTTTAGTAGAGATGGTGTCTCACTCTTGCTTAGGCTGGTCTTGAACTCCTGACCTCAGGCAACCCTCCCACCTCAGCTTCCCAAAGTGCTAGGATTATAGGCATGAGCCACTACACTCGTGGAAAGTTTTATAAAAACTTTATTTTAGTGGGCTACTTTATGTTGTTTATCATTGTCATGCCTTCTTCCCTTTTAAACTTTAGATCCTGCCCCTCTACTCCCCTATCCCTCACTTACTGTTGTTTTATTCCAGTTATTTGGTGCTATTCACCCAGGCTAGAAATTTGGGTTGTCATCTTTGCCTGCTCTATGTTGTTACCCCCTTATATAATTGATTTCCAAGTTTCCCCCTCCCCAGTGACTTTTGAATCTTTCCTGTCCTCTATATTCCTCCCAGTATATCCGAATACAGGGCCTTATTATTTCTTACCTAGATTGTTACAGTTGTTTCCAGCATGGTCTGATTCCTCCCATCCCCACACCCCCTTGCTAACTCCAAAATTTATTTGCCCTAACTTCCATCCTGCTTGCTGCCACCATAGTATTCATCCTCAAATACAGATCTGACCATACCAGTGCCCTACTGAAAACCCTTCAGTGATTTTTCTATTAACACAACATGTACTGTTTTCCTCCCTTCCCTGACGCCGGTTATAAACCATCTCAGAGTATGTGATTACTGCTGCAACCCAAACTACTCATAGTACATTTTTTTCCTGATGGTAATGGGTATAAGCCAGTATGTAAAGGAAGCATGTTTCCAGAGAGACCCTTATTGCTGGGAAGGTGAAGAAAAGTGAAGGTTATGGAATCTGTGCCCATAAAGAGATGCAGGGAGTCACCAGGTGGACCGTTCCTTCATTTACAGATGAAGAAACTAAGGCCCAGAGAGGGCATTTGATTTGGCTAGGGTTACTTGAGAAGTATATGGTGTGGCTAGGACTGGAACCCAGATTTCCTAAATCCTATACTGTCCCTTTCTGATATTGTTGTGCCACAGTAGGATTTGCTCAGTGATTAAAGACTTGCCTTCTTGCCTTTGCAAAGGTGAACAGGGTCTTAAAGTCCTGTGTCCATTGTATATATGAGTAGGATCTCATAAATCCCTAAAATGAAAGTGAGACTTTTCCCTATAGTTTTGGATAAAAGAATACCATCATAAATTTCCGCCATATTGTGGTGAGATACAGTGACATTAATATGAAATAGACTGAGGCCTTTTATCATTGCCTAACTCCAGAAGTACTGGTCCCGAGTCTTTTCTGCAGGTACCTCTTCCTTCTCTACCCCAGATCGAGGCTTGCTTGGCCTTCTTCCCTAGGCCACTGTGCCTCCTATTCACAAACGATTCCTTCAGCCTTCTACTTCCAAGCCATCTGTTGAGGAGTCTGCAGAATCCCAGTGCCCCCTTCGGGCTTCCTGGCCTTTTTCCAGGTTTTTTAGGATTCCCCTTCTCTCTTTTCAAGTAATTACATTGCATAGGAAGTCTACCAAAAATATAAACAATTGGAATTTTATAGATTTACAAAGGCATTTTAATAGTTTATTATAATAGTTAATAACAGAAGAAATGAAAGAGAGAAATTTAACTCCTACACCTGAGACAAAAGTAGGGAATAAGAAAAAGGATCTAGGTCACTCAGGAAGTCCATCCTGAGTTCTTTACCACTACCACCACCACTCTGCCCCTGAACTTCTGCTGGGATGGAACAGTGCCTGCCTGTGGTGGGCAGTGGTACACAAAGGCATAGGCAAATATAGCATGAACACTGCAAACAGTCTCTCTTCCTACATTTAGGTTGTTCCCAACATTGGAAGGTTAAGAATATTTGCTAGGACAGCATTTCCTAAAAATGCATATGTGGACCACTGGAGGTCTGCGAGATGATCTTAGTTGATACATTGGTGAATATTATTGTATGTATTTTTAAATGTGTTTTAAAAATACATAATTAGCACACCAAAATTCATGACTTTCCATTTAGAGATGCATAGTTTTCTTTTAAGATAAATGTAAGTTATAATGAAAGAACGGCCAGGTACAGTGGCTCATGCCTGCAAGCCCAGTACTTTAGGAGGCTGAGGCAGGAAGATCACTTGAGGCCAGGAGTTTGAGACCAGCCTGGGCAACATAGTGAGACCCTATCTCTACAAGAAAAAAAAAAAAAAGCTAGGCGTGATGATGTGTGCCTGTAGTCCTAGCTACTCGGGAGGCTGAGGTAGAAGGATCAACTGAGCCCAGAAGTTTGAGGCTATAGTGAGCTATGATCATGCCATTGCACTCCAGCCTGGATGACAGAGCAAGACCCTGTCTCAATAGATAGGTATATAGATAGACAGACAGACAGATAGGTAGATAATAGAGCAAGACCCTGTCTCGATAGATAGGAAGAAAGGAAAGAAGGAAGGAAGGAGGGGAGGGAGGGAGGGAGGGAAAGGAAGAGAAAGAGAAAGAAAGAAAGAAAGAGTGAGGTTGGTATAAAGTAAAATAATAGTACTTATGGTACATGGGTGTGGCAGAAACCACAAAAGTGATACACAAAGGATCAAACCTTTGGAAACACTGTGTTGGGGCTTTGATTATGAGAAGCTCTATAGTTGATAATAAGTTTATTTTAAATGGTTGTTGTCTGCAATATAAACTTACACAAAAATTTTATTCTAGATGATTTTTTCCCCTCTGTCACTGTGCTGGTCCGGGGAATGTCTGGAAGACTTGCTTGGGCACAACAGCTTTGCCTTTTACCCAGAGGTGCAAAAGCAAATCAGAAGGTATTCAACAGAAGTTATAGGGAAGTGACGGGGGATGGGGGGAGAGTGTGTGTGTGTGTGTGTGTGTGTGTGTGTGTGTGTGTGTGTGTGTGTGTTGTAATTTAAAGGTTAAATAACATTCCAGCAAAAGTCACAGATAACAGATATTTTTGATCCCTAGCCAGATTCTCAGTCAGTGTGTTCGCATCAGAACCGTCTCTTAGGAACCTATTAATAGAATTACTCTTTAAAGGCATCTTCAAGGCAGGTGTATTTTCAGAAAGCTTTCCAGGTGATCTTGACATCCACTTAGGAGTAAGGACTGCTTTTTCTGAACAGGTTTTTTCCATGTAATTTTAAGTATAATAAGAGTCAGATATATACCATATAGGAAAAAAAATTTGGCTAGACCTTTGATATATCTAGCAACAGGACTTAGTTTTAAATTGTTTTATATGATTTATTACCATATAATTGGTAATATACTGTATAACTTTTTAATCTGTGTAATTTAATGAAATCTTTTGGGGTGGCACTGTTTGTTTTCTTTATTATATGTGTAATTATATAAGTAATGATTTCTCATGAGAGAAAGCTGGAAAATTCAGATAATAAAGAAGAAATTTTAAATCACCTGTACTTACTATCCAGAAGGAAATAGCCTCTGTTGATATTTTGGATTGGATTCCCTTCCAGTCTTTTTTTCCTTTTCATACATAATAAAGCTTAACTAGAATTTGAGTCATTTTGTATATTCTTCTTTTCACTTATTACATTGTAAGCTTTTACTTCTTTTTTTTTTTTTTTTTTGAGACAGAGTCCCACTCTGTAGCCCGGGCTAGAGTGAGTGCTGTGGCGTCAGCCTAGCTCACAGCAACCTCAAACTCCTGGGCTCAAGTGATCCTTCTGCCTCAGCCTCCCGAGTAGCGGGATTACAGGCATGCGCCACCATGCCCAGCTAATTTTTTTTCTAAATATTTTTAGTTGTCTGATTAATTTCTTTCTATTTTTAGTAGAGACGGGGTCTCGCTCTTGCTCAGGCTGGTTTCGAACTCCTGAGCTCAAACAATCCTCCTGCCTCAGCCTCCCAGAGTGCTAGGATTACAGACATGAGCCACCGCGCCCGGCCAGCTTTTACTTCTGTTACTAAAAAATTTTTTAAAATATGACTTAATAAAATGTTATCAGCCTTTAGAAGAGACACCCACAAAATTGGAGCATGTACCTAAAATCATTTAATATCCTAGATGTCTCTGGTAGATGAGATACGTTTATTGCTCCATGAGGAGCACTCCCCTGTTTTCTCTTGGTGGCATTATTCTGTCACCAGCTCTGTAAACCCCTAAGTTGGCATTAAAGACTGAGGAGGAACAGTAGCAGGAAAAGAGCTAAAATTTTTTGAGGGTTCACTGTACACCATATACATATTAAAGCAAGGGTTTGGAGCCATGAAGGCCTAGATATGGTGCCTGTACTCTCTCAATTAAGCCATGCTAAGGTTCTAATTGAACTCAGTTTCTAGAGATGCCCAGTGGACCTAAACTTGTTGTTTATTATATGGAATGATTTGAGAGCTCTTGAGGAAGGAAGAAAGTTTGAGATTTAGAGCTCTAGCTAAAGTGGCTTACCATTGAATGTGGGGGATTCAGGCTTGTGGCAGTAGAAGTTCACAACCCATTTGTCAATCATGGGATCTCTAATAAGTTGATGAACAGTTTTAGAAAAATAAAATAGAGTGCACAGGTTCATAGGCTGCTTACTTTCACTGTTATCTATAGCATGTGTAAATTCTTAGTGAGTTTTTATGACATGTAGTCCTTGGGAAACACAGGCATCTAAGAGACCAGGGACATACATCTCATTACAGATGGGTATTGGACCATATGTAATACCATAATGTTATTTGTTTACTTTAACAGCTTTTTGTGCCTGAACCTCGCCCAGTTCCTAAAAATGATGTTGGATTTAAATATACTGTGAAACATCGGCCATTTCCTGAAGAGGTGGACAAGATTCCTTTTGTGAAAGCAGATCTGAGCATTCCAGATTTGCATGAAATTGTCACTGAAGAAGTAAGATAAATTTTTAGCTGTTGTTAAGGAAATGAATATAAACATTCTTAAACGACTTCCACGGTCAAGACAATGCCTTTAGTGTTATTGAAGGTGATTTGTAAGATGACCTGAGTCTCTATTCTGGGCGGTTACCATATAGTAAGACAGATATAGATTGTGGCTGATTGAAAGGAACTGTACATCCTTAGAAAGAGGTGTCACTACACTACCTGGGCTATCGTAGATTCCAATAATGTAGTAACAGAATCACACTCAGGTAGTGGAGCATATTTGGAGAAGGGAGACCAGTTTTGAGACTATTACAACAATGCACGTTCTTCTGCGAAATGAAGGACTACGTCACTGAAGTTTAATATATAAAATGTGTTATGGAGGTAGATCGAAGCAGTCTTGGATTGATGAGGAAAGGAAAAGAGCCAAAGAATTTTAGATTTCGAGTGTGAGTAACAGAGATATCAGTGCCATTTACAGAAATATGGACTTTAGGAAGAAGACAGATTTGGGAATATAGGAAAAATTTATTTGGTTTTAGATTAATTTAGATGATTAATTTGTTTAGGTGATTGGTCTCTTAGGTCAAAGGAGAAGAATTGCAAGAAGTAGGAGACTGGTATGTCAGAGCGTGAGAGAACAGAAGGGCAAGAATGGAGGAAGGGCTATACTGTCAAATGCTAGAGCGATCAGGGAGAAGGAAGAATAAGAAAAGGCCTCTGGATTTTGACATGAAATTGCAGGTGACCTTTGAGCGCAGGTTCAAAGGAGTATAAAGTGTGGGGCAGAGTGTAAGGGGCCGGGAGTGGATGATTAATGAGGCAGAGGCAGCAAAGAGAAAGTACTACTGCTGCTGCTATTAGGTTGGTGCGAAAGTAATTGCGGTTTTGGAACCATGAATTTTAAATCATTGTAACTAGGCACAAACACATCTTTATTAATCAAAAGAGGAACCGTTACAGTCAACACATTTGTGCCAACGAGAAATAAATTTGTTTATTCCTGTGGTGTAAAAATCCGTGCTTCAGGATTTGACGAACTCTTGGAAAGCATTTTCTTCATCCTGCTGGTTGTAGAAGTGTTTTTCCTGCAAAATGTTGTCGAGGTGCTTGAAGAAGTGGTAGTTGGTTGGCAAGAGGTCAGGTGAATATGGCGGATGAGGCAAAACTTCGTAGCCCAATTCATTCAACTTTTGAAGCATTGGTTGTGGGAGATGTTGTCAGGCATTGTCGTGGAGAAGAATTGGACCCTTTCTGTTGACTACTGCCAGTCACAGGTGTTGCAGTTTTCGGTGCATCTTGTAGATTTGCTGAGCATACTTCTCAGATGTAATGGTTTTGCCAGAATTCACAAAGCTGTCATGGATCAGACCAGCAGCAGACCACCAAACAGTGACCATGACCTTTTTTTGGTGCAAGTTGGCTTTGGGAAGTGCTTTGGAGCTTCTTCTCAATCCAACCACTGAGCTGGTTTTGGAGGGTGTTAGGCTTAGTTGGGAAGCAGATAAAGCCAGAAGGATGCTAATAACATGGGAAAATAGGAGGAGGGATTGAGTGCCCTACGGTGATGGTAAAACACGAGCTCAAGCAGTGAAAGTATGGGAAGTGCAGGAAGGGAGCTTCTGATTGGTGAGGGAATCTCAGAATTACAGCTTAGAAAGCAGGGCACATCTGAGGTTCAAGGTGTCCTCATGGGTAGCCAAAGTCTGAAGATTGAGGAGGTTGTAGAATTGTCAGCCAGTTGGTTAGAAGGATCATCACTTGTCAGAGGATGGAATTTTAAACTAGGATTGATCTGAAGGGAAGGGAGGAGTCGGGGGCGTCTACAAGAGTACAGTCAAGTAATCCATATGAGGGGCTACTGCAGGGTGAAGATAGACAGTGATCTGGAAGGGGGAAGGTGGGAGCAACCACTCTTCCCATTTCAAGGGGAACAGAGACAGAATGCTTTTATTCACAGCGAGGAGATCAAGAAGCGATTGTTGAAGCTGTAGGGAAGTTTTTTTGGTATTTGTTTTAACCTTGAAACATGTTACTGAATGAAAGTACAATGTTGATCACTGAAAATTATCTTCATTTTCTTTGTTGCTTGTGGCTTTATTTTCATTTTAAAATTAAGTTTGACCCTGTAACTTTTGTAATATTTCCAAACAATGAAATAATTTGGTTTATTTCAGTTAGAAGAAAGACATGAGAAATTAAGAAGTGGAATGGCCCAGCAGATTGCTTATGAAATACACCTTGAGCAACAGAGTGAGGAGGAATTGCAGAAGAGAAGTTTTCCTGATCCTGTTACAGATTGCAGGCCCCCACCTCCTGCCCAGGAATTCCAAACAGCCCGCCTTTTCCTCTCACACTTTGGATTTTTGTCCTTAGAAGCATTGAAGGTAATTTTCATGAATTTTTATGAGTAAATATATGCATAAATTAACATTTGGCCGGTGATAGCTGAAATATTTTTATGATGATAGAAGGAAATTTCCTTAAAAAACTGGATAAACTCCTGTATGCAAGTAAATGAAATTCTATGCTGCTGTAGGTTACAGTGTGAGCTCCGGAACAGTTTACCCATGAATGCATTCAGAGTTCTGTCTGAGGGGACTGCTTTAATAATATACTCAACTCTGAATTTTCCTGAGTAATGCAGGACCCATATTGCACATATAAATGAAATCTACAGATAATTAAAAAGAGAATGTTAAAAATCTTTCCCCAGTAAATGTTATTACTGAAAGTATAAGCTACAATTGACTCTGCTCTTTCATGCCACTGCCACTTTCATTTTTATTTATCTATTTGTTTGTTTATTTATTTTGAGACAGGGTCTTGTTTTGTGACCCAGGCTAGAATGCAGTGGCATGATCATACCTCATTGTAGAAAATTGACTTTGTGATGCAGCAGAGTACTAATATAAAAACTCATAATGTAGAATGGAAGATCAGAGAGAAGAGAATAAAAAGAAATATGGAAGGCATATGGAAATATGGAAGGCAAGGACAAAAGATCCAAACTATACAAATGATAAGTGATATTGCTAGTGAAGAAAATTGAACAGAGTAGAAACAGTAAATAAAAATATACCAGAAGAAAATTATAGCATCGTATGGATTGCAGGGAGATAAGAAAAGCCCTAAATAGCCCTGTCTCTGAGATTGTGATTTTCTGTTCACATTACCAATAAGAGTTAAAATTGTTAAGCTTTAAAGAAAATAATTCTCATACTTTCTAATCTGTATCAGAACACAGGAAAAAGAAAGATACCTGGTTTATTTATGAACCTTAGCATAACTCTAATAACTTAAGCCTCTCAGCACATACATACAAAAAAAACTACAAACTAGTTTTACTTATAAATATATGTACAACAGTATTAAAGATGCTAGCTAGCCAAACTGAATTCTGAATTAACAAAATTGACTACCACAGTCGAAAAAAATTTTTTTTCTTGGGGCCACGGTGTTTTATTATGAAAATAGAATAAAAACTTCAGAAATAAAATGATCCTTTCTAATTTAATGAAAACTTTGTTACTTTTTATTGTTTTCTCTGTGTGAGTTATATGCAACTTGAAAAATAGTTCTCTCGGCTCCCAAGGTGAAGAGACATGTGAGTTACACGTGCTTCACGAGGCCCAGGGCTCAAAACTAGCGTGAGTTAAATACAACTCACGTGGCAGTTAATGTGTTAAGAGCATGTTAAGCAAATTTGACCAAGTAAGGTTTATCCTAGGAACTTGACAATTATTGGGGAATATTAATAAAGCTATTAAGAAAATAACTTGATCCCACTAGTAGATGAGTCAATAAAATAAATCAATATTTAATAGAACAATATTCTGATTTAAAAAAAAACTTAGCCAGGAATAGTAGTGTAGGTCCACATTAAAGATCTCTCTAAATGGAAGCCCATAAGCAAATTTAGAGGCACCTTTTGTTAAAATCAGAGGTAAAGGATATATACCTTGATGACTATTTAATAATGAGAATTTTTTAATCAATGAAATTTTTTAACTTTTTAGTTTTAAATAATTATAGATTAGCAGAAAGTTGCAAAATAGAAGTACAGGAAGCTCTCCTCCAATGGTACAATCTTATATAACTATAGTACAGTATCAAAATGAGGTAAGTCAATGAAATGTTAAACTAAATTAAGTAAAAATCATTGGAATTAAGGAATAATATACAGGTAATATGACTTCTAATTACACAACCATAAGAGAATCAATAAGATATGTAAAATAAATGAGAGAGTTAAGATAACTATGCAAAAAAGTATAAAAATTAATGACTATTTTCCAATACTTAGGTAAAAATAATGGCTGTGATATTGACAAAAGTTACCTTAACAAACTATGTGTAAGACCTAGAGAAAGAAAGTTTTAAAAGTTATTAAGAGATATGAAATATATGCATTATGTTCCTGGATTAGAAGATCATCCTTCTAGAAAAACAAGCTGAGGAAATACCTTACTTAAAAAAAAAAGAAGAGGCCAGGTGGGGTGGCTCAAGCCCGTAATCCTAGCACTCTGGGAGGCCAAGGCCAGAGGATCCCTTAAGGTCAGGAATTCGAGACCAGCCTCAGCAAGAGGGAGACTCGATCTCTACTAAAAATAGAAAAATTAGCTGGGTGTGGTGGCGAGTGCCTGTAGTTCCAGTTACTCAGGAAGCTGAGGCAGGAGGATCACTTGA